AACATCACTAGTAGTTTGAAATGCTGGGTACACTTAATCGCACACTGTTGTCTGTGTAGGCTACAAAAAAGTATTGATTCGTTAGCAAAGGATGCAATAAGACTGCCAGTATGTAGGAATTATGATAAACACTGCGCTTATTGCATAACATCAGAAGTAAACACGTCAAACACGGAATTAAAATCGGACATTAAAGAAAAAACAGACAAGTTGATTTATTTTACAATAGGTTGATTGTACTATTATTATTTATTCTTTGAGTTCCGAGTGGAACATGCAGTCTCAGTACCACATATTTGTTGCAAATGGTTCTCTGGATTCTTTTCAACTGGCACCACGACTGCTCACGAGTTTTTATTTCCTCATCACATGATCTCCTTCATGTCAGTGTCAGTTGCCCAACTCAACGCTTCTCGTTCATATTCGACTTAATGGCCAGAAATTTGATTTGATTTGAGTATCTTGCTTTATATCTAATACATATCCATATCCTCCTGAATATCTGTTGGTTCATTGCCAAAGTTCTGGAAATCTGGTCTTCAGTAACGACAGAAGACAAGTGTTGATAACGATCTGTGTCAAAACTCGGAAACGTGTAGAAGCAGTGACTTGACACTAGTGCTAGAAATTCGGATACAGCTTGTTTTGCTACATCCTATGAAACTTTACGCTAATTACAGAGCGACCAACTGGACCATCACCGTCAACTGGCCCAGAAATACCACAAACAGCATGCACATAACCCCCTGCCAGTGGACACCAATCCTCCAACGAAAGCGAAAATCTTGAATGCGATCAAGCAACTGAAGCCCAGTCGGAAAGGTAGTAGGACCAAACGGAATTCCCCCGAAGCACTGAGGCAAATGTTCTCTCGCCATTATTTCAAAAGGTTTGGAGGTAAGGAAAAGTACCTAGCAGTTGGAAAAAAGGCTGGTCACCTCGTCAAGCTAACAAAGAAGTGTGACCTAGTTGGGCCTGTGCAAGAACTGACGTGGAATAATGCTCTTGTCCATGCCAAGTAAAATACTAAGTCGCATCATCCTAGACAAAGTAAAAGATTATTTATTTTATTTTATTTTTTTTTATTTTTGTTTACAGCTTGATTCCACACAGTACTTTTTGGTAGAAGTATGGAATTTTCAGCATGGATATCGGTAGCCCAAATTTTACAGGCCGACCATAGATATCGGGTGTGCGTCGGCAGGTAATCGAACCCCGGACCATGTGCATGGTCGGCGGGAGTCCTAACCACTGTGCTACCGATGCACTGGATACAGAACTCCGCCAGCACGAAACAATCTGGATTCAGGAAAAGCAAATCATGTGCTGATCCAATTGCAACTCTAAACATTGTCAACACAGAACAAAATATAGAATGACAGTCAAACCACTCTCTACCTCAATTTCATAGACTTCAAAAAGGCCACCATCAGACAGCGTTGATCGAGAAGTAATTCGGAAACTCCTTCAACACTATGGCGTGCATTGCCTAAATCTTTATCAACTTCATTCGACAACTGTCTACATGACAATGCCAAGTGTCAGGTGATCCACAACGGAGAACTCAGCGAGGATTTCGAAGTGAACAAAGGAGTGAGACAAGCTGGCTACCTATTACCGATGATATTCTTAATTATGGTGGACTGGATTCTGCATCAAACTATGTTTAAGGAGCGAGGAGACAGTGATACGCTGGACCAACGATAATAAAACTCTAGAAGATCTGGATTTCGCAGATGATATATGTCTAGTGTCACAAAAACTCGAAGATTTGCAGGCAAAAGCCAACAAACTGGCTGAAGAAGGTGACAGAGAAGACAGGACTGCAGGTGAACATGGAGAAGATGGAGGTGATGAAGATAAACAACGAACAGCAACAACAACAACCAGCACCAACTACAATCAAAAGGAGAGATTTGACAGAGGTTATCTCCTTCACTTATCTAGGAAGCATGGTTTCATCCACAGGGAATCGGAACGGATGAAGTTGTCAAAGTCAGAACTGGAAAGGCAAGATACGCATGCCTTCGTCAACCTGAAACCAGTTTGGAAATTTTCCATAGTCAGCCAGCATAAAAAACAAGATTCCGATTTTCACCAACAATGTCAAGTCGGTCCTTCTATACGGGTCAGAATCGTGCAGTGCATGTAACGGAAAGGATTTCGAACAGGTTACAGACTTTCATTAACAGCTGCCTTCACTGGCTACATTCTGAAGATCAAATGACCGGCCGGCCATAAAGAAGTAGCAGCAAGAAACTCTGGCAGGAGACAAACCAACCAAGAGCCGGTCGCTCAGCAAATATGTAAGAGAAAATGGAGATGGATTGGACATACATTGAGAAGACCATTGAATGGCATCGCGCCCGATGCAGGTCATCGTTAGAGCGGAATCCAAATGGGAAACGACAAGTGGGCCGTCCTAGGGTGACATGGAGGAGATCCTGTGAGGAAGAGATGAGAGAGTTTGGGCGACCATGAACCCAGCTGAAGATGATGACAGAAAATAGAAGAAAGTGAAGATTTGTAGTTGAAGTCCTATGTTCCACTCGGAACCCAAGGGAACAATAATATAACTCCTGTCTTGCTACTCAGTTCCGATTCTGGCTGGTTTTGAAACGTTTGGTAATAATACAATTTAAGAGTATAGTACTTTTCAGTAAAAAATGAGGCGTAGATTATCTGCTATATTTCAGTGTTAACGTATCATACAGATGAATGTGTCATACTGCTTGTTCATTCCTGAATACACTGTAATTACAGTGAGTCCTCTGGCAAATTATAGCGAAGGAAGAAAGTAAGTGTGTATACAGTTCGGTAACAGAGAATCTGATGCGCTCAGGATATCCAGTCCCATTCGATAAGTCTTTCAAAGTCACGTACAAGATAAGATCCAACCTCTCGAAAGGAGAGAGATCGCGGCATCTAGGCATAGCTGAGGCACTAGCGATCCCAAAGTCCAAGCCCAAGACATATATTCAAAAGAAATACGCCCAGCCTTTGTCTCTACCATGGCCATTATGAAAGTCAATTTTCCCAATAGTGATTATCCTACTAACTTTCTTATCCAGTATTTCTGTTTATTTCCTTTATTTTTATTTGTTTTAATCTGAACTTCCTGTCTATTTTGTTATCATTACATTTTAATTCTTAGTTGTATAAAAAAGTCAGTTTCTCACAATAATTGTCATCCTACTATGTTTTTATCTGAACTTCTTCTTTATTATTGCATTTTAATCCCTAATTGCAATTCAACTAAAATGACCGGAAATAGTTCTGGAACTTTTTCACCCCCTGCTTATAAATACATGAATATGCAGCCTACTTAATGATTTAGTCGAATAGAAAATTATCTTCTCTCTAACTCTCTTTTCAATACTTCTTAAGAATAAACAGTAATCAAGAGCTGATTTGCAGAGATTTGATTGGTTACAGGATTGATAACAGCTGACATAAGTTACACGAACATTGGGAAAACTGGGAGTACTGGTCAGGTGTTTCATCCAAGTTTGCAAGTCCTCATCAGTGCGCAGCTGGTGGCTTACAGTCAATCCTTCAACTAACCAAACCGCTACAAATCAATATTTGATAGCTAATCTGATTCTCACTCGCTACTGGCCTTGCACAGGACGTTACCTGTGGTTCTAGAGAGAAGTCGTAACCAGCGGGATCCACCAAGTCAGCAAAGAGGACAGTTACTCGTATGTGACACTGGCTGTTGCTTGCGCTAAATATATATATATATATTTCGAATCGACAGAATTTGGAATTCGTGGATCATTGGGTTGGATAGCAGTGGTTGAATGGTCTAGGACCTCGTCTTGTGACTGGAAAGTCATAGGTTGGAATCCCAGTGGGTTAGTACTGCTGAAAAATCCCAAAGTAGGACGGAACAGCTGTCCAGTACTCCTAGGTTCTCCAATCTTCCTGGAACTGATGTCAGCTCGTGATTGATCCTGAAATAAATAACATTAATCGTTTGACTTGAAATTAAATAGGGAGTTTAACAAGTTTTGATAGTGTGGAATATTCCCATATTATGAATTAAAAGTCAATCTGAACGAAGAATATTCTTTTCAATAATTTCTCTTCAGGTTCTTACAATTATAAAATATAATATTTGTTGTCGTTACAATATGGGCCAGTTATGCGGCGGATACATTTTTAACGTAGAATAACAGATTAGTAATGGGGTGTCAAAATAAATAGTTGTAGTAGCAAGTTGATTACCAGTTATTTTGTATTTTTCTATGCGATGATTGCGGTATGCTCACCTTTCAGCTGTCAACATCGCTCACTAAAGGAGACTGTTGACCTGCCCTGGAAAATGTCTTATTAGTTTCGGCCAAGTTTTCTCCCACGCCTATATTTATATAAACTATTCTAGTCTTGTTATTAGCAGACCCCGGAAACTCTCGTTTTCCCTAGACAATTTTTGAAACAATCCTGAAATTATATGGCTATCTGTAAAGCAGCTAAAAGTGATTATCGTGACTAAACAATAATGAATAGACCTAATTTAACCAGTCGGAAGGAATTCTGTTCATTTCAATTGGATTTTCATTAATTTCTGTACTTTCAAAACTCATCACCACTTCCATTATATCACGATTAACTAGTCTGTACAATTTGATTTTCTGATTTGACCGGACTGAGTCTTATCCCGCTAAATGGTCATCTGCAAGTTGAAATAAGACACCAGTAGATGGCATTTCACAATAGCCGGTTGTGTGCATAGTCCGAAGGAAACTATGTCGACTTGCTTTACTATTTTGTGGTCTTTTGTTCATGGTTTCTAGCTTGGTTATGATCTTCCTCAAAATAAAACGCAAACCATTAAAAATCATATTTGAGCTTGCGTGAGCAAACCCAGAGTTTAGATTACTGACATTCCCACGAACAGAATAAAAGTAAACAAATAAAACCAGCTTACAATGAAGATTTATTATTATTATTATTATTATTATTATTATTATTATTATTATTGAGACTATATAGATCCAACAGCGAAATACCCTACTGAGTTTCTGTTCTAAGACTGTACAAACATATATATTCAATAAGTAAGTACAAGCAACACAATCACTTATCTGTTGCAGGTATAAATCACTTCGTCTCCACTGAACAAACTTAAAAAGTCTTCAGTCTTGTGCAAATCCAGCCACGCATACAGCCACAAAGCACACAGGATTAATTCGACTCACACCGACTGAATCATCGCCACAGTCAGTTGACATAAATGTGTGCGTTGCAAAACACACAGTCGGTACATTACTTCCTGTTGTACCGATAATTCCATTGACAATTATTTTGTGCCTAGGAAAGAGACGTGTTTGTTTACAGACAATACTGTCTTTCAGATCATTCAACCATTGGTCAAATGCAATATTCCATCTTCCATTCTCGTCGATTGCAATCTCATCCATAAGTGTTTGTAATTTCGTGTTGAGCAACTCTAAGATCATTGTGCGGTGTTTACTGAATGTAAATAGATACGGTGGACATATTTGATAGGTATTCTGTTTACGCGTTTTTCCTCGTGCTTTATGCATTGGGAACATGATTACTTATTTGATACTATAATTGGTAGTTATATATATATATTATTCACGCTGTTTGATTTTTATAACTAATCACTCCTCGCTCTTCGCTCATTTATCATCAAAATCACCACTGTCATACAGAAAATATACATATGTGTATATATTCATATATCCATTCATCTACTTACTATCTGTCTGAAAGTGGTATTCAAATTATTTATCGATTGATCCTATGACATTACATATAACAGTTATAATAAAACATGCGATACAAAGTGGACAGTCATGTGATGCAGAATATGCTCTTGTAGATATGATAGTAAAATAGTGGAAAAAAAAGTGGTGGTACACCCATGCGTGCTACAGACATGTTTACAAAAATAAATTGAAGTCATTCAGTGTGATAAAAAATAATACTAATTTTATCTCTGAAATTCAATTCAATATTTTTATATTGAAATATGATTGGAAACATTTTAAAGCGAGAAAATACTGGTGACGGTAACACTGAGGTCTGTTTTCATGCAGACAGAGATTTAGGCTGTAATCAAAACCATACTCATCTACGTGAACAGAAATCAGTAGTTTATATGTTTCGTATAAGAAGGAGGTGTTTACTGTGACATTTCTCTGAGTCCACTAAACATTTAGGGGCAATGATTATTGCTCACCACATTCATATTTCTTTTTGTTGTCAGTGGATTTAAAACTTGCTGCTTTTAATTGTCATTCTAAGCTATGCTACTTTATTTTTTTCAACATAATCGTACAAAACCTAAGAAATACCTTACAGCTAAATGTTTATTGTTTGAAAAAATATCGCATTGGTGATTGTAATTCGTTATCAAGCAGTAACACATAAAAGCCCAGTTTTCAGTAGTATATGTTCGATTCTACAAGCGGAAAATTAGTATTTGGAGGGCCAAAGCTAAGCGTAAAACTTAAACGAATATACTCACCATGACCTATCAAAACTGATTAGAATACTCAATGTAAAATTACCTTGGTCATCCAGGTTTGAATAATCCGGAATTTTTGTGGAATTTCCCTAATTTTAGTTGATATTCTATTCGCTATTGTATCTTTATTATTATTATCATAATTTAAGCATCTTTCATGAACTGTAATTGCATTGATCATACTTTACAAATCAATATTATTTAAAAACACTAATATCGTTATTAACTACTAATCTAGAATATTTTGTGTACATAAACACATATGTAATTGTAGACCCGGAATTTATAGAAAAGAATATTCTTTGCTCGATTTTTTTGTATTTTATAGATGTCTGAATGAATATTTTTGCTTCATATGTTTGTCCATAAAGCGTGATGGATAGTCTTTCTCATGTAGTGTGTTCCTCAAAAGGGTGATCTCCTCTTTAACTGATTCGGGACTGCATATTCTGCGGATTCTAGTCGCAAAAGTTATTAAGGATATATAAGGATCGCTATATTTTAAGAACTTTAATTTCATTCATCTCACTCACTCTAGCCGACATAAAATAGACCCGAGTGCGGAGAAAGTAATCATATCAGTTTTAAATTCTTGTTAATCTCATTCTACAATATAAAAATTTCCTGAATATGCATCACATTGTATAATATAAAGGGAGAATAAGTGGGTGTTATGTCATTTATGTGTTAGACATTCACACTCAGTACATAGAAATAGCTTTCATCATTCGAGTGTGCATACAATTGTAGACAGGATGGGGTGTTACCAATCAATGGAAATTCTGTTGCCTCATATTTATTTTCCCAAACGCGCTTATAATGACAGAGATGCTTTCACTAACAGATACACAGCTGAACATTTTCACTATCGAATAAATCATTTCAGCAAAATTCCAACTGTCAGTTGTAAGGAGTGATTCCTAATGGCTAAAAACATCAAAGTCAAAACGATTATCAACATGGATGAGCCATTTAAAGGATTTCGATTGTTTAACTGAAATCCGTTTTAGGATGAGAATGATGATGCTGTTTTTCTGTTCGACATTAAGAAGACCTTTCCACTATCCACCAAGGAATTATTCTATTTCTGTTTTCGTGCTCACGTTTCCTCGTCATTCAATTCCAATATGTTGTTTGGACTGACAAACAGAGATCTAAGAAATGAAATCTGTCAAATTCACTGCTTGATAAAGCATTCATTGATATCACCATAATAGAGCAGTGGTATAAGCGTAAAATACTGTTCTGTTGTACAATAAGCAAGTGTCAGTATCTGTAAATATTCATTGTTACGCCTGACACTGTATCATCACATCTATTAGACACGCAAGATGAAGCTTTTGACAAAATCACGGCTACTAGTTTTAGTAGCGAGATTTGATAACTTCACCTTTTTAGCATTTATTTCCACTACTTTTTCAGACAGACCATTGTATTTATGACGAGAAAACACTAACTTTGCTATCTCGTAAAGTGCACCTGAACAAACGCTTGTTATTATATCTCAGTAAAACTATGTAAATGAAGGCTTCCTTAGTCCGAAATTCCGTTCCACTGTTAAATGAATATTTATCATAGGTGACTAAATTGTTTATGAAAAAAAATCAAAAATCAATAACGTTAGTAATAACAGTAATAATATTTGTCTGATGGACATATAGATGAATGACATTTCACTGGGAACTTTATCGAAAAATTAGCCTTACCTGCAGAGACTAGATTTAGCCAAAAACGACCGGATCCAAGATATAGCATACAGTGTATGCGTATGACTGAAGTTTTAGGAAAATTATGACATTTTTTAAAAGTTTTCAAGTGTTGACTTGCAAAGATATGACTAGCTTCAAGTAAATTACAAGGTGACATTAGTTAGAGAACCACTGGGAAAGGAGTATTAGACAGCCGTTTCATCCGATTGTTAATTAGCACTTACCTGTAACCCCAACAGGAACTGAACCCAGGAGCTTTAGGTTAGAACGTGTACCAGTCGATCATCCAGCCACTGGAACGGAATTCAGTGACCTGTGAATCCTAGCTTCTCATAGTCAAGAGATTTATAACGCTACTGTTAGCCAATTTCACCAACAAGAATCTGTCTTAACCTTGGGTTAGGTGGACTCCAACAGCACTTCTCACTACAACTCCAGGTAACTTCATCGCGTAGTTAGTTACTATGGTGCATCAGATTAATTTTCAAGCACTTATTTTCAAAGGATTTGGCTGATTTCAAGTTAGACCACGAGCTTACAATGGTTAGAGAACAACTGAAATCCATGGAGCACTGGACAGAAGTTTCGTCCTAGTTTGACAGCCTTATTTAGTTTGATATTTGTTCTGAAAAACAATACCTACGAAAGTAGGCTATTCGAAAATAATGATGAATTCAAATCACACACCCCCACCATATAGTCATCGTCATATTAGATAAGCCCCCAATTTTGTGGTGTATATATGATATGGTTCACAGGCTCTGCCGCTGGACCTTCAACCGATTGGGTGGAAACGCCAACATCGATGCAATTGCTGCAGCCTACGAAGACAGCCAGTATCATAAGTTTCCGTACAATTACTTTACACAACAGCCTAATGCACAGAAGGCAAACTTTACCGGGAAAATGAGCTGAACTATACTTACTTCCCTTCTGATTTGGGGATGATAAATAAACATTACGTTATTGACAGTAATTAAGATCATTTATTTTATTTAAAACAAACTTGGTAGGTTATAGACACCAAGAGATACAAAAGATATAAGTTTTAAAAAAAAAAACATTATTTGAAGATAATAGGGATGGGATGAATGAGGGACGTCATCCAGAAAGCAGGCAAGTACGATCGCTCGACATTCATCATCTCATGTTACTTTCAGGAAAGGAAGACAGAAGGAAATTGCAGTAAGTTCGCCCTTAGCTACGATTCCTGGCTACATATGATATGATAGCCAGCGGTTACCACCGCCTCTCGGAACCCAACTAAGGATTCGTGATGTGCCAACTTATGTTGACCTAACACAAATATCCTTCATCTCGCGAAACCACGTCATTGACTGACCATGTCTTCTTTTTCTCCATCCGATTCCCGGGGTAGCTAACAGTGACCGGTACGGTAGCCTCTGGAATGACATTCGTTACACGATAATCCCATCGAATGCAAGCATTTCCGATGAGGCAGGGATGCTTGAGTTGCCGCTAGTGCTTAGTTCAAAAGGCCAAGTTTCACAGGTGTACAGCAAGATTGTGAGCACCGAAGCACCGTAAACCTTACCTTCAACAACTAGGCTGACGTCACAAAGGCGCCAAAGGTGGCCTAAATTGGAGTACGCCACCCTAGCTTTCACTATACTATCAGAAATTTGCCCCGTCTCACCTGTACCAGGACTCACGGAGGTACACGAAGTTGTCGACAACTTAAATCGGTTCACCTGCAAGGGTTAGTTCAGGTAAGGATTCTGACGACGTTGAAAAAGTACTTTGCACTTAGACGGCGCAAAGCGCATACCATACTTAAAGACAATGATCGCCAATTGAATAAGTGTGATTTAGTCAGCCTGTACGCTATCGTACCGTAAGAAGAAATCGTTTTTGTACTCGAGTTCCAAGAGTCTCTTTCCAGGAGGCAGATATACACCATAGCCACGCACTTTCTTTCAGAGCTGACTTCAGGTTGTGATTTGCACGAAGCTGCATAAGATGGTCTCCATTATCTGACCTGCGATCGTGTATACTTTACTGACCACCAGAGGACTGACCTATGAGCCTAAGCATCCAACCTGTGCATTCAAGCCTCAAGGTAGCCATGCGATATTTATCTGATGCACCTGTTACAGAAGCTCGCTAATCTGATAGCAAGTCTCATCCTTAATTGTGTGCTGGTCATAATCTGTGAGTGCATAGACACAGGTGAAAAATTGACACCATCTCTCTGGCCAGTCGCTTCTTACTCTCGTATAGCTTTTCAGCCTCACAGCACATACACCATTGTTAATAGGGATCCAGTCAAGCAATGCAGGTTCAGCTGTAGACCTTAGCATTATACCAACACTAGCTACGATGGAAGTCGACGCCACAGGGTCTCCGGGTAAACAGATGTGATATACATCATTTGGACTTTCAGATGAGGAAGAGATTCGAGACTCTTCACCGCTATCTTGAATGAGGGTCTCGAAAAGCCAGTAGACATCTATAGCAAGTCTTTCTCATGTTCTCAACAGACGTGCTTGTTGTCCTATTTGCATCAGTGTAAGATTGTTGGTGGTAAGCTTGAACGTGGCACGAGATTTCAGGAGATCCATGTTGCATATCGCACAGGAGATCAGCATTTTGAAAGTTGCCAGATAACAACGCGGAATGGCACAGATAGGCTGGAATTTCATATGGAGGCAAAATACTGACGAAATTTAAGACGCCAAAAGTAGTAAGGCTGCTAAAAACCCCAGTGGATGCGTACTGATGGAGAGTCCCAAACTAGGACGAAACAGCTGTCCAGTACTCCCAGGTTTTCCAGTGGTTCTCTAACTGATGTCAGCTCAGGATGAAATCCTCCATGCAATCAAAAATAAAACAGCGCAAATTCTTATATTTACAAATAAAGTTAAAAAGGATCACATTGTCGAAAATGTGATTGTAGTCTGTAATAATGAGGGCGCAATTATAATCTGCCATGAAATTGTTATCTCATAGTTTCTGAGAGGGCCAAGACTTTGTCCGGATGCCCAGACCGAAGCATATCATTACCTTAAGGCACCATCCCCGAGCTATCCATTGGAAGCCTTATCCACAAAGCAGTGGAGAAATATCAGAAGATGAGTTCCTGTGGTTGCCAGTGACCAAAACATGTTCATATACTATTCGATGTTTCGGATTCTGCCGCCTGTTTGCACGATGGGTTTTCGAAGTAGAGTTTCTCCTACGTACACCAGTAATCCCACAAGTCAGAGTGTAAGCAAGGGCTTACAGTAATTAAGAGCTAAAATGTAAACACTTTTCTTCATCTCTTTAAAGCTTACGTTTAACATTAAATCATCTTCAGCTAATGCAAAGGTGTACATAATTTAATTAATGTTTACAACAGTACACAATCTTATCTAGTTATCAAAAGCGTCCTAAGTTCGAAACCAGCTATACCAGATGTAATAGAAGTGGACTCCAAGTTATTTAATTGACAGTCAAAAATCTACTCTGTCACACAGACGACAACCACGAGCATACTGAGAGTGGCTGTCATGAAGTCACCAACAGCATCGGAAGTTCTCATGTAGTGAGAACCAGACTCCTCTAGAATAACCACATCAAGACGCAACTCAAATGGTAAGAAATTTACAATTATATCATGTCATGCTCCCACAGACAACTCAGATCAGCAGCGAAAGGAAAACTATAACAGACAACTGCAAATGACAATAGACAAGCTCCTGGACAGATGAAGATATCAAAATTCTAGTGGGTTATAAGAATGCAATTCAAACCGGTAGCAAACGACACAGTAGGCGAACTCATAATAAGTCAGGATTTTCTCGGCGAAACGTAAGAGAACGGATAATTCTTAAGCTTCTGCACTTCCAATTACTTTATAATTGGAGGCAGCGTCTATGAGCTCAAGGATATACACAAAGCGAAATGGATTTTACTAGATGGATGCAACATGAATCAGAAAGACTTCATCTCAGTCTCAAGAACGTGGAGATGTAGACTGCTGGACACAAAATCGAGAATGGGGGCAGATTCAAGCTTAAACCATTATCTAGCTCAAGGAACCTTCAGGGTCAAGCTGAAAGTCTTCAGAACAACTGGAGAAAGACCACAATTCAACATTCAGAAACTGAGAGATGCAACTACAAAATGTACTTTCACTGCAAATATCAGAGCAAAGTTGTAGACACTACGTGGCATTACTGAGGGAACCTGAATGGGAGAACATCGCAACTCTCTGAAGATGATGTTCAAAGAAACATGTACAACCACTTTAGGAAGAAAGAAGAAACAAGACAAAGAATGGCTCTCAACTCATATCTGAAAGCTAATAGAAGAGAGGAGGATGGTAAAAGAGATGACTTAATGCAAAGGAGAAGCTGAGTTCATTCTACAACGCGCTGAATAAAGAAATGAAGAAGAGTGCAGGTAAGGACCAAGGACAAGCCTTCGATACACTGTAAACTGAAGTACAACAGATTGCATATAAGAGGGACCTCAGAACGTTATACCAGATAACCAGGTCACTATCCAGGAAGAGACCAACACAGATGGAACCAATGAAAGAGTGAAGGAAGCCTAACTACCAAAGAGAAGAAACAATGGACTAACCAATGAAAATGACTACAACCTGTAACTCATCCAGAAATACTGCCAACATCCACAGAACTGCTAGTAAGTGTCAACCAAAACCTATAAAAACAGAAATCGTGAGTGCCGTGAAGTTCAGAAACGCGAGCTATAACTCCTCTGGAAGCATTGCAAATGGATACAGAGACCGCGGTGGATATCCGCACGCTACTGTGACAGAAAGTTTGGAGCGAATGAGGGGTATCTACTGATTGGAGGAGTGGTTAGCCTGTCAAAGGAGGAAAACTTAGTCCTTTGCGGAAACTGACACGAAGCATGTTCCTACCTACGCTAAGAAGAATATTAGGTCTTGTCATACACAACGAAATGCGTCAAACTTTTATCGACCTAATTCAGTAGCTCCATGAAGGCGTCATATGTCAAGTAATTCACAACGGAAAACTCAGAGAAGACATTCAAGTGGAGACATGAGTAAAGCAAGGTTGCCTACCATCACTGATGACATTCGGAATTGTGGTGGAGTGGATTATGCAAAAGATAAGAATAAGTTGAACTGACAAGACTCTAGAAGATCTGAACTTCGAGGACGATTTGTCTAGTGACATACGAAATCGAAGAGTTACGGGTGAAAACTAACAAATGGCAGAAGAAGCAGAGAAGACCAAAATTCAAGTAGAGTAATGAAGATGTCTAACCAACCAGCAAAGACAGAAATCTGGAGGTCACCACTATTACTTATCTCAGCAGTAGCGTTTCAGCTACAAGCTGTACGGATGAGGGTGTCAATGGCAAGATCAGAGACCTTCATTATTCTAAATTCAGCCTGGAAATCGCTGAGGCTAGACTTTAAACAAAATAATGCGACTGCACCAAAGCACATACCATACTTACAGACACTGATCGTCAACTGATTGAATGCGATTTGGGCAGCCTGCATGCTATCGCACAGTAAGACGATATCGTCTGCATACTCGAGGTCGAAAAGTCTATCTCCAGGTAGCAGATCTACACCACCTTCACGCACATCCTTCAGAGCTGACTCCAGAATGTCATCGATGGCAAAGTTAAAGAGAAGTGGAGAGATTGGGCAACCCGGTCTAACCCCACTGTTGGTTGGGAACAGTGATGATAGTTGGTTGTATGCCCTTACTCTACCTGAGGTGTTTCTGTATAGGGCTTTCAAGATGCTAACAAATTTCTCAGGTACAGCTCTCTCTAACAGACATTTCCAGAGCACAGTTACACAGCAATTACATACAACCATACAATGGGATGGATGGGATAAGATGACAGTTTTAAAATCTGTCACAGGGTGGAGGGAAAGATTGATAACAGAAGCTTTGTTTATCGAATCAACTGCAAACACGTGTAATAGGAATGATTCAACACCTGTCTCAGATATCTGGAAAATTCTACTACCCCTACGACAAATAGGAGAGAACAAAGAAAACTATAAAACTCAAGTTTCGAACTCGTGTGATTATAATTGATGACATGATTATGAACAATATGTTTTGTTCAAAACGTCATCCAGTAAATAATACTGTTTCACTGTGTGATACATTCAATAAACGCACTAATGTGGAATTACTTACTACTACAGTGCCCAAGTTTTACACATATATTAAAAGTGAACTCGATGATTTCCATAAAATTAATCTTTATTTCTCACTTTTCTAGTATAAAGAGTGGTGAATATAAATGTCGAACAGAGCTATAAAGAAAATGACAAGGTGAAAAGATAACCAAAGGATAAGTATCATTAGCAGTACTACTAGTAGTACGACTAACAAGAAAAAAAAAGATAAGTTGATAAAGTGAGATTGCATATAATGAAGGGAAGTGTGAAGAGATTGATTTTATAACCTACAATTAATAGAAAATGCAAACACACACACATAAATCCACGGGCACGTCAATTAATATCCAGTAGTACTGAGTACGATGAGACAAAGGTGAGGATAGTTCACATACAAAAAGAGAGAAGTATACGAGACATATATTCATTGCTCAACTAAGCACTAGAATATATGTCAGTACCGGGAGAGTGTAAGAGAGAGAGAGGGAGGGAGAAACGGGGTGGCTGAATGAGACGACGTTGGCGATTTGTAGACTCTGAAGAGGGAAAAAAAGACGGTAGTGTTCAGCAATATGAATGATAACTCTGGTACACCAAAAACATTGAATCAAAAAAGAGAAAAATATCATAGCTTTGGTAAAACTAAGTGAAAAAGAAAGAAAAAACATCACAAATGTTTCAAAGAAACCAAATTATTGTAAAACACGATGTGCTAAGAGATTAATTCATTAGTATCAGATAGAGAATAATGGACTGATGTGTAAGAAGAACAAGATGTAAAATTACAATATTGTTAATTTTCAAATATGAACATGAGGTCACAGTTAGACCATCACTTTACAGGAAATGAAGCAGAGAAAAAATGTTTAGTCTTCGTTTTCTTCTTCAATCAATCAAAAGCAATCACGAAATTTCGACTTATTACAAAGGCTAATCTAGAAGGTATGTTTAGTTACGTAGATGGATAGGCAAAGTGACCAGAAATTGTAAGTACTGCACAAAAAATTACGCGGATGATGTGTAAAACAGTGCAGAGAATTACCAATTTTCATATTCTCTTTTTATAATTTCATCAAAAGACAATATAATAAGTATAAAAAAAGAGAGCAAAAAGACGAAAAAATGTATGTTATAAACATAGAAAGAAGCCAGTGTTTTGGAAGCGTTTTCTCCAGATTTCAAAAAGCTTTAAATACTTGACGTTGGTAATTGCAATACACGGATTTTAAGGGGTAGTTCACTCGACTGGAAAAGAAACAAAAAAATAAAAGACACATAAATACTTACTATAGCACAAGGCGACTTTTGACTAAACAACTGGTTTCAACGTAGAACTTTGCACAGATGTGCGGCAGTTCGAGTTGCCAATTCACATGTAACACACAAACCATGAGAACAGAGTTGAGAGAGATAATTAACAAAATTGTAAGTTGAAAAGAAGAGTAGTGTGGAAGAACAAGACAGTTTTACTGGGTATGACAAACCACAATAGAATTTTATTGGAAATTGTAAATCCCAAATACTGAATGCACCCGCGCTATCATCGAGAACGATTTTCAGCCATATCACCTATCGCCAGCCATTGATTCTTACCATCGTGAAGACCCCAACCAGTCAGGAAGTCTACACCTCCCTAAGTGGCTGGCTTTAAACTACGTGTTATGGATTTCACTCACCGATGAAGCCCTGTTTCGGTTTAACCACCATTACCAATTTTCCAACCAGATCCGAATGTGGTGAGTGCTACTTATAGTCAGACATAAGTAGTATATCAGTAAACGACATCAGGAAAGTAACAGTATGTTTTGCGCACTGAAAGAGGACTATGAGAAGAACGTTACAACACTGTGCCGAATCCAACAAACTATCGAATGTGGTGATGTTCTAACAATTCGCAAATGATGTACGAATAGAGATAAATAAAGATAAGGAATACCAAATTTATGTATCAATTATAGGTTTTCCAGGCCGTAGGTGTTACGAACTCCCTAAATAATTTGAGCGCCGAGTCAGACTGATTCATTATAAATTATTTAGATTTATTCCAGCGTGTTAAGAAAATCAAAACAAGATTTTTCTGAACGTTTCGCTGTGTGAGCTACAGCTTCTTCAGCAGATTTATTCGGATGTTTATTAATCATCAACATATATAGTCAAAAATTTTTTACATAAATTGAAGTCAGTTTATTTGAAGGTCATTTGTCCGTGGACATTTTTACCAATAGAAATATGTAAGCAGTCATCACATATATTTGTAATGACTAATGTCAAGTTATTGTTGATTTCACTCTTCTACAGTTGATTTGTACAGATTAGTTTTGTATGAGTGTATGTTATTTGTCATGTGGAAATTACGTGAATTCATATATGATAAACAAGATACTACATGTTTTAAAAGGTCATGGAGGCTCATAGAGTGTTTATTGTTTTTTCATCTGTCTTGCTTCATAAGAGTTTGCCATATAGGTGATAAGTCTATCCCTTCTTTCCTATCACTGCATTCGATGTGATAAAGATGTGCAAGGTTTCAGAAGTCAATCTTTCTTTATGTGAATGAAATCCTCTTCCAAGAATTTCGACATTGTCGAAATCAATCTTATGCCCGCTGTCTATCGCATGCATTGATATAGCTGATCTTTTTTCTAGACTTTTTAGTTCTACTTCATTTCTAGGTGGACGTATCGTGCATAGTCTATGTTCATTCACTCTGACCTTCACCTGCCTACTGCTCTCCCCTATATAGCATGCATCACATTCTGAACACATTATCTTATAGACACAATTACTTTGTGACATTTTTGGAAATATACCTTTGACATGCACCAACGCTTTCTCCAGAGAATTAGAAGGTTTGACATAGACTTTAATATTATATAAGGCAAATAGTCTTTGAAGTTGTTCAGCTGTGTCCTTTCGGTATGGGACGGCTATCGTCGATAGCCAGGATTTTTCAATTTTCGTTTTCCCTTATGCTCCTTTCTATTGATAATATTATCTAGTAGCTTTTCAGGATAACCATTTCCAATCAAAATCTGTTTTATGTTGGATATCTCGTTCTCCATATCGTCATTATCTGTTATAATGTTTCTAGCTCTGTTAACGAGATTTAAAGCTACTGAAACTTTCATTCCTATTGGATGATCTGATTGGGAATTCAAATACTTTTTGGAATGTGTCGGCTTTCTGTTTATGGTAAACTTTAGTTTCTCGTCAGTTTGTCTTTTTACAAGACAATCAAGAAAGTTCAGAGTTCCCTCAGCCGATTCTACTTCATTAGTAAACTCAATATATTCTGAGATTAAGTTAATTTCTGTTAGAAAGTTTGCTTTTTCAGCTTTCTTTATGATGATAGATGTGTCATCTACATTTCTGTACCATATTCTAGGATGACAACTAAAACTTGTCAATGCTTTCTTTTCTAGGGCTTTCATATATAGGTTTGCTACAATTGGAGATGCTGGTGAACCCATTGCAACTCCATTTGTTTGACAGTATAGTTTATCTTTAGAGGTAAAATATGTAGATTCCAAACAAAGTTTTATAACTTCATCTATTGATAATAAAGATTTAGTCAATACTTCTTGATTGTTTTCAAGTTCATATTTCATAATATTGAGTGAATCACAAATAGGGATACTAGTAAATAAAGAAACCACATCAAAACTTGCCATAATTTCGTCTTCTTCAATAATTATGTCCATTACTTTCCTTTTAAATTCCTCAGTATTTTTGATGTTCAAAGGAACATTGTATTGAAGTGGTTTCAGTATTCGTGATATGTATTTTGATAAAGTTTATGTTACTGAATTGGTAAAATCAATCATTGGTCTTAAAGGAACATCTATTTTATGTATTTTTGGCCTTTCATAAAATCTCGCGCCCGTGTTTGTCTTGGGGGCTATTGAAAACCAAACTGAATTCCCTGGTTTTGGTTTCAATTCTGTAAGTGTACTGCACACTTAGGCTTTTTACTTTGTTCATCGTACTAGACATTTTGTTTACTGGTACTAATGTGTAAGGCCCTGCTTCGATATGTTCCAAAGCTTTTTTGTCATAGTCGTCTTTATTAAGAATTACAGTGATATTGCCTTTGTCAGCTTTAGTTATAACAACAGATTTATCTGATCTTAATGTTTATAATGCATGACGTTCGTTCTTCGATAATATATCAATTGCCCCAATATACATTGCCGTCGAGCCTCACTGGTCTTTTCTTCCTTACAATTAGTATCACTGCTTCTGCCGAAAATGGAGGTGCCGTGGAGTCAGATGTTCGAGGAGGGAGATGTGAGGACATTCCACAGGGACTTTGAGGCTGTCGCGGACCTCGCTGAAGTTCGGGAGCAGAGGGTGAAGCTGGTCGTCTTGGGGACCCTGCTGAGGCCGTACGAATGCTGCCTACGATGATGCCCGGGAGGTTAAAAGTGAGGCGGCGTGGGACAAGGTCGTTAAGAAGCTCGTGTACGGGTTCGACAGCCCCACGCAGACAGACAAGGGGCGTTGCAGAAGTTCCGGACCCTGAGGCTTGGTCGGGACGGGGATCCGTTGGTTCTCGCAATAACGCTGACGAATCTTCTGCGATGCTCATTACCCACCTTGGACGAAGATTTGCGGGGGCGGTTGCTAGCTTCCTAGTTCATCGAATGCGCCCCTACGGATATCGCTCATCATTCGCAGCTAGTTAACGCAGCTCAACCGATGTGTATTCACGAAATGGCAAAGATCACAAAGCAACTAATAACTTCACATGTTGCTTCAATGATGACTGAATGCCAAGAATCTAAAAAGATTGAAGAGTTGAAACAGCAGGTGGCAGCTATGCAGATACGAGAAAGACAACAACAAATGTTGACAGGTAGAGAACAGTGTAAGGAAATAAGCGTGCACTTTAGCAGTTCAGACGGTAGGGGGACATCCTATACAGATTCTTGGTGTTTCAGACCGCAGTGCAGAGGTCGGAACAAGGAAAATACGACATCCGTTCACTGTAACGTCAGATATAAGGCGAACGATTTTGGGAGCAGACTCTTTTAGAGAATTAGGCACCGTAGACGATATAAAGAATAGGAGAATGCTCACAAACCATGGACAGTTTGGGATACATGAGAACAGCGAAGTCGCTGAGGTAGAAACCACAACGATTGTTCCAGAAGAATTACCAAGTCTCACCATGTTGATGAGTAAATATGACGGCTTATTCACTTAAAATGGAGAACCCTACGGTTATGGTGATAAGGCAAAGCATGACATCCCACTGAAGAATCCGGGGAAGACAGTCTTCTCAGCGCAACGAGTTCCCGTGTACCTAGAAGAAATTAACCGATAAGTCATAGGAATGTTAAGCGACAGAATAATCGAAGAATCCGATAGCCCGTACAGTTCGTCAATACTTTTTGGTAAAGAAAGCTAACAGTAAATATAGATCTTGTGTCGATTTCAGAGAGCTGAATAGCTTCACGGAAGTAAAACAGTGTGCAATGCCAACCGTAACAGAAACTCTTGATCGCCTTCAGAAAAGTTACTCACCGTTTTCGACCTAAGATCGGTTACTGGCAGATCCCAATTCCAGAAAGTGACCGAGGAAAAACAATGTTCACGGTTGGGCAGAAAGAATAAAAGTTTAAACGAATGCCATTTGGATTGGTTCAGAAGACTAATGACCTTATTACTGAAGGGTCTGAAGAACGTAGAAGCATACGGAAACGACTTTGTTGTGTATAGTGAGACAGAAAGCAATCATATAGACCATATCGAAGCCATCTAAAAAGAATTGATCAATTTTGACTATGTATTAATAAGAACAAGTTCCAAATAGCCAAAAATATTGTCGTCCTCCTGGGTTATAAAGTGGGAAATGGAGAAATAAGACCACTACGTGAGAAAAGCCTCACTGTCGAAACCAGTGAAGGACAAAATTCAAAACGAAAACTGAGACAGTTTTTGGGAAGAGCGGCATTTTACAGCTGATTTGTCAAAAACTTCAACGAGATAGCATAGCCCCTGTATAGGTTGCTGAGTAACCCGAAATTCACGTGGACGGAAGAGGTACAGTGAACGGTTGATCAAATTGAAGAGCTGTTAGATGGTCAACGGATGACATCCAAACTGCCAATGCCTGGAAGCAGTTCACAGTTTCGACAGATGCAAGTGATTACGATATAGGTGCTGTCTGAAGACAAACGGATGGGGTTGTTGAATATGCTAGCTGTGTGTTGACACTTGCAGAACAAAAGTATTCTACGGTGGAAAAGGAGTTTTTAGCCATTATATAGGCACCAGGAAAATGGAGACCGTACTCGCTCGTCTGTCGATTCCAACCGACCAAAAACCTCTGCAGTGGTTGAAAACAGCAAGGGATCCATTAGGGAAGTTGTCACGATGGATGTTACTCCTACAAGAATATAATTTCACAATTAAACATATCCCAAGAAAAAGAAATTTAATAACTGACTACTTGTCGAGATCAGATAACGAGGGCGAACTACCAAAAGTAGCATATGCAGTGAACGCTTCCGAGCAAGATCCCTTACAACTTGTTCACCGCCAGAAGTCGGATCCTACTGTTAAGGCAGTCATCCAGATGATAAGTGAATGAAAAGAATTCGACATGTCAGCAGAGAATACAGAGTTAAAGGTACTACTATATCACAAACATAGACTCAAAACTAAACGCTCTCGGCGTCCTAACTTGGAAAGATAATGATAGTAGCTGGGTTACGGTAATGCTAAAGAGCCTTCGTCGTGAGGTAATTCATGAATGCCACCAACTAGCCCATACAGGCGTTGCATAGACACATGATCTAGTGAGCCAAAGTGCGTACTGGCCAAATATGAAAACTACATACTCGCTAGCCCACAGTGGCAAATGATAAAGAGTGATTAGTGCATTTGACCACCGCTACAAACGATTCCCGTGGCATCAGTCGATGAATTGTGGTCAGTCGACATAACGGGTCCTTTCCCTCAAACGTCGAGTGGAAATCAATACATTTTGGTAATGACGGAACACGCCACGCGGTGGGTAAACGCCGTGGAGATTCCAGGTCAGCGCGCCAAGACTGTAACCGAGTCGGTAATTCGACATATTGTGGCGGATCATGGTGTACCAAAGGTGATATTGGCACATCAAGGTCCCTGTTTTTAGAGTGAGGAGTTTAAGACTCGTCTGGAGGCATTGGGTGTTAGAAGAATTAGAGTGATTTCGTATCAACTTCAGACAAACGGCCTAACAGAAAGGAATAATCGTACACTCAAGGAGTGACTAACTGCGAAGAGAGGCAACTGGGGTACTGACCTACCTTCGGTATTACTGGCATATCGTGCCATAATGCAGGGGACAACAGAAAATCGCCCTTCAAGCTGATGTATGGGAGGAAACCACGCTTGTCGGCGCACCATAAGACTTGGCCACAACAACAACATTCGAACAGTAGGAGATAGAAAAGTGAGCGGAAACAGGCTATTCAGAATATACGAGACAAGCCAAAGACAGACATCGAGAAAGCTGGTAAGAAACAAATCAAAGAATAGAAGCCATTTGAAACAGGCGACCAGGTGGAATGTAGAAAACGGAACTATACTACCGGAGGTGGGTCAGGATCAGGAAACTTCCCAAGATGGGAAGGAGGTCAAGTGTACACAAAAAGTGAGGAAATATAGGAAAAACAACAAATACCAGTCTGCTGCAAAGATAGATACATGAATGTCAAGACGAGAAACCCGAAAACCAGCGGGATGGAACCTCTGTTTGTCGGTCAAGGCGGTTACAGGAAAGAATTTACAATGAGGGTGGGAGTGATTGGAGTGCTACTCATAGTCAGACATAAGTAGTATATCAGTAAACGACATCAGGAAAGTAACAGTATGTTTTGCGCACTGGAAAACGCAATCGAAGAAGAGGACTATGAGAAGAACGTTACAACACTGTGCCGAATCCAACAAACTATCGAATGTGGTGATGTTCTAACAATTCGCAAATGATGTACGAATAGAGATAAATAAAGATAAGGAATATCAAATTTATGTATCAATTGCCCCAATATACACTGCCATCTAGCCCAAACGTATCTTTCTCCGGACATTGTCAGCTAACATCGCCTATCCAGCAAGACGATGGGCTACGCATACATAACACATGTCCTAACCATATAAGTTGATGTAAGTTCACAGCCTCGTCTATTGATTTCCCCTCATTACATAGCACCCGACACCTAGCCTCCATATTCTTCAACTTCTTGTACATCGCCTTCTTCAGTTCCTTTCCAGTAATCATCTGTTCCTAGTCAGCAATAACTTTAGGCAAAAAGAGAGGTATTGCCTAACCTAGCGACCTCCATCACCAAATCAACGTTGGACTCAAATAGACCACATACCAATAGGCTATCGTTGACAAGGAACAGTAGAAGACTGCCACTCCTTCTGGAACACGTGCGTAGAATCTGATCATGCCCTGGGTGGCGCACGTTTACGCTTACAACTAAACGGACACATAAAACTGTTGGCAGCGAAGCAGTTACGCCCCCGACTTGATCAGGACACTGAGTCCCTATTTAAGAAAGAGATAGAGAAACGGGTAGATGCGGTCGACAAGTAGCCTGTCACAACATACAGTTAGCTGGTGAGACAGCTTTAAAAGCTGTTAATAACCTGCAACCTAAAGTTAGTTAGAGCCATTGGATTTCTACCATCTCATCCGAACTGACTGACGCAAGAGGACTGATCCTGGCGAGCTCCGAATATGATAAGGAACGAAAAGTGCTCAACCGGAAACCGAGAACCCTCAGCAATGACCGTGAACAGTGGTGGGCAACTAAGTCGGCACAGATGGAAGAGATACTTTTCATTGGACGCTAGTTAGTAACTAGTGTGATGTGCCTAGTCCTCTATTTGGTGAAGACTGAATTCTATCAGTTAAGTTTCAAATGTACCCACCAATCTAGGTGGCTCGCCATCACGGTGCAGTTTGTAATGTTGGTATTAGACGGCTGTCCATTCCTGAAAGCGATGGATAAAATAATCTTTAATCAATGAACTAACAGTTGTAACTAATGTATATATATACACATACATATATATGCATACATACATATATATATATATATATATCACAATTGCAAGCCAACAATACTTACAGGGAAGACTAGGCATAGATCCGAGTGCGGAAGCTTCTTCATTAGACTGCTGAGAGGAGGTAATAGGATTTTCGATACCACTGTGGAAATTGTTTTATACAAAATACAAATTGGAAAAAAACAAAGCGATGAATTTATGTCACAATTATATACTAGATATGCTTTTTAGAATAGATTAAAACAGTGAATCTGCTGCACAATATACACCTCTACGTAACCATAATGTTAGCCCAGTTATTCCTTACAAAGTGAGTCCTATTCGATTATACTTTCCACTGATTATAAGTACAAATCAATAAGCTAATAATTTTCAGCGACAACATCTAGGATCGCCGAATATTTGTTTTCGAGGCCTTGAAGATGCGTAACTTAAGACTTTCCCGGCCGATAACTGCTACCTTGCCGTGGTGGTCGGGCTTGAATGCCACAGTGACCCAACAAGCTAAACTGGCTGGGACTCATGTCCCTGCAGGTCCTACCATGTCAGGAAGGTTGTTTGGATAGCGGTTAGACTAAAAGCAGTTACCATGGGGTACATGGGCTCCAGAATTCAATCGGATCAAATGGCGTATGAACCCACATGGGTCACGGGCAACCATGGGAATGCAGCTCCTGACGCTGCTCTGCTGCCTTGCGGATTTTACTCCAAGTCAAAGGCTCGGGGGGTGGTCCCTTAAGAAAACCACCTGCTTCGGTCTGGGCGCCCGGGCAGTATCTCAGCCCTCACACAATAAATGAAATGAAGCAACGAACTGTTGTGGAAACTCACCGCGCGATAGCAAAAATGATTTCAAGAAATAATGATACCTCCATCAACTTATGTCCTTCCAACCTTACTTTTATTTTTATACTTAGATATCTGTAGTTTACCTTTGCTCAACTTGACTTTTTAACCTTCGACAGCACTTCGCCTTTGTCTGGATTCCTAGCCTATCTGTGTCGTTTCGAGATGTTAGTGAGTAACCCTCAAAATAGTTGTCCCCAATGTGACATCTAACACAGATATCCTGAAACCGCGTGCCGCATTCAAGCTGGCCACCTACAATGTTCGGACGCTGATGCAAATCGGAGAACAGGCAGGGTTGGTAAGAACATTGGAAAGCTTCGCTATCGATGTCTGTTGCATTTCGGAGACTCGCATTCAAGATCCCAGTGAAGTGCCTCGATTATCCTCTCCATCTGGAAGTTTTAATAGTATGTACCACCTGCGCTTGTCCGGGGACCCTGTGGCGCCGGCATCCGGCGTAGCTGGTGTCGCACCGAGCGCTAGAGCCGAAGCTGCACTGCTCGACTGGATTCCCATTAACAGTCGTTTATGTGCTGTGAGGCTGGAAGGTTATGCAAAAGTAAGGAGTAGTAGGCCAGATAGGCGGTGTCTATTTGTTGTCTCTGCCTATGCATCAACGGATTGCAGCCCGGATGCAATGAAGGATGAGTTCTATCACCAACTTAGCGATCTCTTGAGACAGACGGGTCGGAGGGATATCGTAGTGCTGGCTGGGGACTTGAATGCACAGGTCGGGCGTCTGAGCTCAGAGGAGAATCGTCTAGGTGGTCAATGGGGACTACATGGTCGCAGGTCAGATAATGGGGACCGTCTTCTGCAGCTTTGCGCGGATCACAACCTATTTATAGCCAGCATCGACTTCCTGCACAACCATCGCCGTAGCGCTACCTGGCGTCCTCCCTCTGCGAACCAAGCTTGGACTCAGATCGATCATATTGCTGTCAGTTTCCGGTGACGAGGATGCATACAAGACTGTCGCTCCTTCTGGAGCACATGCCTGGACTCCGATCATGCGTTAGTGTGTGCCAAGTTCGTCTTGCGATTTGGTGGGGTTCATAAAAGGCGTCGTCTAAACATTGATGTTAGCAAACTAGTAGCACCTGCTACTTCTTTGAAATATCAGAATGAGTTGCAGTCAATGCTTGCCAGCAACCCCCCAAGTAGTATAGATGAATATTGGCTTCATCTGCAAGGTGCCATGCAAAGAGCGAATGTAGCCGCTTGCGGCTTGAAAGAATGCTCCGCCAAAAACCACTGGGTTTCTGCAAGTTCCTTGCACCTCCTGGATGAACGCCGGTCCATTCCGGCTGGCAGCGAATACAGCAATAAGCGAAAGGCTCTGACGCGCAAGATAAGACAGTGTTTACGTAAGGACCGCGAAGCCTGGTGGTCAGAACGTGCGGGTGAGATGGAGTCGGCTGCTGCATCTGGCAACAGTCGGAAGCTGTTCCAACTCATCCCAGCCACCGGCAGCAAGAAACAAGATGTCAGCGAGACGGTCTGTGAGGCAGATGGCACGCCAATTACCAGCTTCAAAAGACGACTGGAACGCTGGGCAGAGCACTTCGGGAAAGTTTAGCTGGCCACCAGCTTCAATATCTGCTGTCATTAGCCCCAGTGCTCCTTGGTCGGTTAATACCGACCCACCCACCGAAGCGGAGGTCCGTAAGGAACTCCAAGTGTTAAAACGCCATAAGGCGCCCGGCCCAGCCAATTTACCCCCGGCTCTTTTCAAAGATGGTGGCGAGATTCTCACAATGGCTCTAACTGAGTTGTTCAGGAAGGTATGGGAAACTGAGAGTGTACCATCAATGTGGAGCGAAGCCATTATCGTCCCCATCTTTAAAAAGGGTCGACGTAATTCGTGTGACAATCATAGGGGTATCAGTCTGCTACCAGTCGCGTCTAAATTATTGGTTGCTGTCTTGCTTTGCAGGCTGTGCAAAGTACGTGAAGGATTGATTCGCAAAGAGCAGACTGGGTTTCGTTCAGGTCGTGGACGCACTGATCATGTGTTCACCCTTCATCAGTTGTTGGAACACCGCCACACGTATTGCAGGCCAACGATCGTTGTGTTTCTTGATATTAGGGCTGCCTTCGATTCGTTGGACAGAACTGTGCTCTGGAAATGTCTGTTAGAGAGAGCTGTACCTGAGAAATTTGTTAGCATCTTGAAAGCCCTATACAGAAACACCTCAGGTAGAGTAAGGGCATACAACCAACTATCATCACTGTTCCCAACCAACAGTGGGGTTAGACCGGGTTGCCCAATCTCTCCACTTCTCTTTAACTTTGCCATCGATGACATTCTGGAGTCAGCTCTGAAGGATGTGCGTGAAGGTGGTGTAGATCTGCTACCTGGAGATAGACTTTTCGACCTCGAGTATGCAGACGATATCGTCTTACTGTGCGATAGCATGCAGGCTGCCCAAATCGCATTCAATCAGTTGACGATCAGTGTCTGTAAGTATGGTATGTGCTTTGCACCGTCTAAGTGCAAAGTACTGTTACAAGATTAGCAGGAGCCTGTACCTGCACTCACTCTTGCGGGTGAACCGCTTGAAGTTGTTGATAAGTTCGTGTATCTGGGTGGTTGTGTGAGTGCTAGCGGAGGGGTGACGGATGAGATTTCCAACCGTATAATGGAGGCTAGGGTAGCATACATCAACTTGAGCCACCTCTGGCGCCGTCGCGACGTTAGCCTGGCTGTCAAAGGTCGGGCTTGCAATGCTTCGGTGTGGGCTGTATTGCTCTACACCTGTGAAACCTGGGATCTCCGAACTGAGGATGTACGGCCACTCTGCGTGTTCGATCATCGCTGTCTCCGCAGCATTGCTTGTATTCGATGGCATCATCGCGTGAGTAATTCTGAGGTTCGGTGGCGTGCGTTTGGTCACAGTGGAGATCACCATTCGTTGAGTGTTGTTATATGGAAACACCGGCTTCAGTGGCTTGTACGTGTGCCGCGAATGTCATCCCGGAGGCTCTCCTACATGTCTCTGTTCGCTAGCCCCGGGACTGGATGGAAAAAGCAGAGAGGTGGTCATCCCATGACGTAGCGTCGCGGGATGAAGGATATTTGTGTTAGGTTAGCATCAATTAGTGCGCCACGATTCCCTGGTCCGAAAGATAGTTCGAATCAGTGGCTCGCAATCAATGGAGAAGGTGCTGCGATATCCTTCTTTCTTCCCTTACCGACGATAGTTGACGAATGCTGTTTGAATTTGTTAAATATGACTGTTTTTCTTCCAGATGATGTACTTTATCCTTTCCCTACCTATATTTTTTATTACTTTTTATCTATGTTGTTTTATTATTATTGTGTGGCGCATCTGTTAGGTGCCATATTGTACCAAGTTTTTTCTGCGTTTAAATGAATAAATAATAAATAACTTAAGACTGATGAATAAGAAACGCTGGGGTTAAACTCGCTTAAGTCCTCTAGCCAGTCTTCCGAGTGTGAAGTTTAAAGCAGTATTCACCATGCGTACACTTGCAACAAAGTTAACAAACACTAGCACTAGACAGTAAGGACAAAATCCGCTGATTGTCTTGCTCTCGATGGCATACTAACAAAAATGAAATTAGAACAACTGACGCTAACACTGAGACAAAGACTATACAAAAACCAAGAGAGAAAATAATCATTACCTGTTCCCGCACACACTTACTTTGATCCGTTGCAATGAGGTAGGTTATCGTGGCCATTTTGCGATGCGTCCTGGAATGATCGCTGAACTACATATATCAAAGAGAGATGAAACGTATGCAATAAACAGTTGATAAATCAAGCAATGCATTTTTTTCGGTATTCAATGCTCCATCAGATTAACTACCGCCTTTATCAAAATATTAAGATAAATTGAATATCCGCATTAGATGCTTTTGAAAATAAATCGTGTTTTGTAACTTTTTATTAGCAGTGCCCGTGACTTGAAGAGCATAAAGTAAAACGGTACACTACGCGTCTAGTAATTTGTCAGTTAATATTGCCAATCGAAAGTACATAACATGTAAACACATTCAGAACATAAGATAAAATGTGAATAGACAAATGGTGTGCAGGGTGGAGGTAATGAGCTATAATCAATGGTGGTAGAGAAATATAATAACCACAAAATACATATACACAAATGTGGAACACCGAATGTTAAAGGGTCTGGCGTTCATGCAACACTAATTCAGTTACTCTTTCAGAAACCTCAAGGAGTTATCATTTTCCACGGTGTGGGCAACTGGGAAGTAACAACCACCGACACACTTCCAAAAGGACACAGAGCCCTCTTGGTCATCATACTCCGTTATCTACGTCACCCTCATCAATTTGCTTTCCTCCTACTATTAATACTGTAACAACAGAAGACAAGGACCAGGCAACAGCACGTTTATTACGAAAAATCAACACGTATTTATAGATTTTGATGTACATTATTGTAGGTCAATGTTAGTAGAAAATACAGTCTGTTGATTGGTTGTTTCTCACACAAAGTTAACCTTGCATCTCTTGTGGCTGTGTCAGTTCATCTATATGTTAACTGTAACCGCCTGTCCATCTTGACCTTTGACCTCAATTACTGTCAAACAGTTTGGCTAGCAACCATCTCTCACCACAACATGACTAATATTTGATACATAAACATTGACCTCAATTACTGTCAACCACTTGGCTAGTAGACAGCTCTCACCACAATACTATTTCACAGGCTTGTCAGTCCTCTTCGTTTTATTCTGTGACTATAAATAGCAACGAGAGCTAAAAAGAACACTCCGATGGTCTCTTAAAGCCACACCAACAACTTCATATTGGAGCACTTAACATAAGGACCCTCTGCCAAATCGGACAACAGGCATCATTAGCCAGTTCTTTGACATCTAGAGTTATGGATGTATGTTGTGTTTCGGAGACACGCATACAAAACCCGAGTGTGGTTATTCACTAAACCCCACCTAGCCAACAAGGTGGATCTGCGAATTTCGCCTCAAGAGTGTCAAGAGATTCCTGTGATAGTTCGAGAGGACTTGCAGGTGTAGAGATAGCATTGAGTGTTGGGGCAGAAAAATCACTTCTTGACTGGATCCCAGTAGATAGTCGTAAGTGTGCAGTTCGTCTGCACGAGTCCCTTAGAAGAAGAAAGAACGGCGTTACCCGAAGATGTATTTTCCTAGTCTCCGCTTACGTACCGACCGACTGCAGATCGGATGAATTAAAGGATGACTTCTACCAAAAACTGTCTAGTTTGCTGCAAAATGCAAAGCGCTCAGATATAGTTGGTTTTACAGGCGACTTCAATGCCCAACTAGGGAAGTTATGACAGACTCAGAAGTATATTGGTGGTACGTATGCAGTTCCCTGCCGAAAAACCGGCAGTAGCGACCGTCTTATACAGTTACCTTCAAATAATCATATGCTCCTAGTCAGCAATAACTTTAGGCAAAAAGAGAGGTATTGCCTAACCTAGCGACCTCCATCACCAAATCAACGTTGGACTCAAATAGACCACATACCAATAGGCTATCGTTGACAAGGAACAGTAGAAGACTGCCACTCCTTCTGGAACACGTGCGTAGAATCTGATCATGCCCTGGGTGGCGCACGTTTACGCTTACAACTAAACGGACACATAAAACTGTTGGCAGCGAAGCAGTTACGCCCCCGACTTGATCAGGACACTGAGTCCCTATTTAAGAAAGAGATAGAGAAACGGGTAGATGCGGTCGACAAGTAGCCTGTCACAACATACAGTTAGCTGGTGAGACAGCTTTAAAAGCTGTTAATAACCTGCAACCTAAAGTTAGTTAGAGCCATTGGATTTCTACCATCTCATCCGAACTGACTGACGCAAGAGGACTGATCCTGGCGAGCTCCGAATATGATAAGGAACGAAAAGTGCTCAACCGGAAACCGAGAACCCTCAGCAATGACCGTGAACGGTGGTGGGCGACAAAAGAGATAGAAAAGGCATCGGCGATTGGTAACAACAGACTTATCGGGGAAACAGGTGGGAAAAGGCAAATGATAAGTGAAACAATCTCTGAGGAAAATGACACCATAAATAGCTCCCAGGAAAGACGACTAAAACGTTGGAAGGAACACTACAAGGAGCAGTTTAATTGTCCTACAGCCACGCTTAATTTACCGAGCATCCAAAACCTACCTGAGTGGGATATAGACACAGGTCCACCGTCCCTAACTGAGGTTACTAAGGCTATCACTAGTCTGAAAGGAGGCAAAGCAGCATGACTTGATGGAATGACTCCAGAAGTATTTAGGTACGGTCGAGACAATTTACTGTCTATGTTAACTAAAGTACTAGGCAGCGTCTGGGAATCAGAGGTAGTCCCGTCGAGTTGATGTGAGTCATCGATTATCCCGATATAAAAAAGGGAGACAAGTCATCCTGTGATAATCACAGGGGGATTAGCTTGACTAATATGGTATCTGAAGTTCTAGGCTGAATAATCCTGTGTAGATTAAGTGGTGCTCGGGAGAAGCAAACACGAGATAACCAGACAGACTTTAGACCATGAAGAGGGTGTATTGAACATATCTCTCACCTTTCGACGGATTCTGCGACGTAGTCATACTTACCGGAGTCCGTGCAAAGTTCTATGTTGAAACCAGCCAGTCAGAGCTAAAATGGCTTACAGCGATGCCCAACTTACTGAGCATCGGATACCTCCTTGAATAGGATATAAACACAAGTCCTCTGTCCCTAAGTGAAGTGACGAAAGCTATTTATGGTCTGGGAGGAGGCGAAGCAGCAGGACCTGATGGAATGACTCCAGAGGTGTTTAGGACGGTGAAGACAATTTACTGTGTGGTTTAATTAAGGTAGTACGCATCACCTGTTCTCAAGCGTTTTGTGCCGCGTGTAGTTGAACTGAGAATGTAAATAAGGTGTAAACTGAGTCTGCTGTTATATATTAGTTCGTTTACGGAATATGTATTTCTATAGACTTTGAGAAGGCCTTCGACTGCGTTGACCGCGAAGTAATTTGAAAACTACTCAAGTACTACGGCGTACTCCAAATATTCATCAACCTTATTCAACAGCTGTACGACAACGGCACATGTCAAGTGATCCACAACGGAAAACTCAGCGAAGCGTTTGGAGTAAACACAGGAGTCAGACAAGGGTGTTGTTTATTATCACCAATGATATTCCTAATTGTAGTGGACTGGATTATGCGTCAGACAGTGGGAAACGAGAAGACAGGGATATCCTGGACCAACGTGAAGAATCTAGAAGACCTGGATTTCGCGGATGATTAATGTTTGATGGCACACAAAATCGAAGACTTACAAGCGAAAACCGACAAACTGGTCGAAGAAGCAGCAAAGACAGGACTGCAGGTGAACAAGTTATGAAAATAACCAACCAACAACAACAACAGCAGCAACATCCAGCGCCAATCACCATCAACGGGAGGGATTTGAAAGAGGTTACTTCTTTCACTCTATACTCAAGATCAGATGGCCGAAAAGAATCACCAACAAGAAACTATGGGAACAAACAAAACAAGAACCAATCGCTCAACAAATACGCAGGAGAAAGTGGAGATGGATTGGACACTCGCTGAGGAGGCCGCTGGGTGACATCGCGCGTCAGGCCCTCGAGTGGAACCCGAAAGGGAGGCGGCGAGTGGGATTTCCAAGGGTGACATGGAGGAGATCGTGTGAAGAAGAGCTGAAACAGTATGGACTAACATGGATGCAGGTGAAAAGTACAGCAGAAGACAGGAACAATTGGAGGCGTACAGTTGAAGCCCTATGTTCCACTAGGAACCCAAGGGAATAATAATATATGTAATATAATGTGTTACTTCTCTAATTTCATATTTTTCTAAGGAGTTTGAGACGGATCTTACCAATCTGGTGCCTCCACCCAAGTCTGACAATTTAGAAACTAACACCCAAATGACAGATAATACTGCCTCTAAGACGAGGCCTGCGGATAAATCTGTGCTCCCTGTCGTCTCTGGAGAAGTTACAAATAACGTAGAGTCGGCAGCAAATGTTATTCCGCAAGTAGGCCTAATTACGGCTGAAACTTATTTGTTCTTTTAGAAATATGCTTCTTTACAAAATTGGTAGGATAACAACTTTATACCAGGGTACTTTTAAAATTTTCGACTTCAATACAGTTCTCAATGTATGTACACCTAATACTTTGACCAAGACAACAAATCAAATCCCGCTTAAAAAGTATGCGTATGAAACTGTGGAAATGGATATATTTCCCCAATTCCGCTCTGTTTTTCTGTAGATACTTCGCTTTAACTTGCTGCCTGGCGTAGATCCTCTTTGTTTATCCTGGCCTACTATAAGGTCATCATCGACATAATCATCTCATATTTTCAAGTTATGTTTTACCTTTCATATTACTTTTCATTTAGTTTACTTCACTCCATTATTTTATCCTTACTATGTGACCGACTGGTTTCAACATAGAACTTCGCACAGATGTGCAGCTGTTAGAGTTGCCACTGATCAGTGCCCTGGACTACGAACTACCGAACCATGGATTCGAGTAAGAAGTTTCAGGAGACAGTCCGCACACAACAGGGGAGTCTCACTGCAGTTGCGTGAACATGAGAATAGTTGTAGATTTGTATATGTGCTTAGAGACATCTCAAGTTACTAGTTGGGATATTATAGATTGTGTATAGCCATACATGCAGGTAGGGAAAATTTGGTGGAGGCCTTAGATACACTTAGAGTGTACAAGAGCGTTCAACAACGTGAAAGTTGTAACCATTCACAAATTATAATAATACATTGAGACAGACTTACCGGAAACAACACTTTTTGTCGGCGAATCTTCATCGACCTCATGTATTATAGTATTGTTAAGTGAAGCACCATCCTGATTATTAGGTATATGGCAAATATTGGATTTGAGAGTATCTTCACTTACTGAAGATGAATTACGTCTTAAAAAGACAAAATAATGATAATAATAATTTGGAAAAGTAATGGTAAATACCAAAAATAAAAAAAAAACTTTATTTAAAAGTTATCAGCCATACTAAACACTGAAGAAAAATAAGACATTCTTCCAGCACAATCGATACTTCCAGAACAAATGAAAATTAACTCTGTGATGGTGAACCGGGATATCCACTCGACACATTATATAACATCTATGTTCTTTTGCAATAAACGAGAATCGATTACAACAGATAAACAGTATCTGTGAATAAGGAAACCATTTTTGAAGCAGGGAATGATGTATCTATGTGGTTCTGGTTGGCACAATTTGTTCATAATACCACAACAAGAGATGGACGTCATCTACATACTGATTTTTTACCTCAAACGGTAATCAAAATGGGTATAGAGTAGTTTGCTGGTACGCAACCGATAAACAAGAGACATAAATACACTACTGACAAGTAGACGAATGTGTCTAATAATCATTAAATTTATGAAAGCACAAACTTGCTATAACTAGGTAGATTTTAATTGTGGTAATTCTGAGAGTTATATAAAATATATGTGTATACCACTAGGGATACATGATAATTCTAATTTAACTCTATCGCACTGAAATGCCTAAAAGTGCAACACGTAGACAACGCAATGGGAACAGGCAGTAAAATGATTCGTGCCGACAATTACTTACAAATTTTTCCTACTTAGTTTACCATTTAACTGTTCAATGCAGTCAGAATGTGGAATATTTTAGATAAGCTTTGAAGAAAGCACTACAGAAGCTTATTTGAAAAGAAAATATGCATAGATTATTGTAACAGGAAACAATACCTTAAACCTGCTACAGCATCCTTTGCACGTGTTGACAAACGACCTCCACCAAGCATAGACTGCAGTAGGGCAGACTTGAAGATAGGTGCATTAGCACACTGTTGTTTGACCTGTGCAGTTTGATGAGTATTCTGGTTTACATCCAGTGAACTAATTTGAGACGTTAGTGAATCAATAGGATGAGGCTCTTCTGTATCAGTGGAACTGCTTCCGGCACGAATTTCAGTATCATCCTCTGACGGAGGGCGTACAACGGTATTCGGTATTTCAAACGTAGACTGAAATTAGACAACACGCGAAAAATAATGAATTAATTTGACTTCACTCATTTTCTTTTTGTAAATTTCTCCATATACATCTCTCCGAGATATGACAACTCGAGTTGAGGTACAAATATCACGTTCTCGATTGGCTGATATAAACTGATTGCAAGAATATAATAACCAGTGAATAAGTCAATTTCAAGCACCATTTTAAGCAGAATAAATAAATAAAGTTGTTACAAATAATAAGAATGAATAGGCCATTCAGATTATCAAAATAACGGATTAACAACTCAGTATTTCTTTGGATTTTCTTATAATTCTCACTATCTGGTATTCAAACTGTGAAAAGAACAGTTATTTAACGAATATACCGAAGGAGTTTGATAACACAGTAGATAGTTGTTCACTTTTAGTTACTATAATACAAATGACATACAAGGGAAACAAAAACAGGTCTGCTAAATTACAATAACTAGGATAATTGATAGAGATAGAACTTTGCTGAAGCTCTAGCAGTTATACGCACTCCAATAAATTTTACAATAGGATCTAACTGTTGAATTAACAATGAAAAGCACTTATGTGTGTAATTGAGCGTAAGCATAAAGCCATTTACGATCATTGGGTTAAACACTCGACATTAAGCTAAAGGGCACCAGATCTGAATCTCATTCCAAATACTTCCGTCTGGGTAACTGTAGTGCATCACTGACTTTCTCACACAACCGATGTTACTCACAGCCTAGTGGTATACGCAAAATTTGTTTCAGACAAATATATTCCACCACACAACTGCCACACTACACACTTAATTCTTGATTCAAAAAAAAATTGTTTAAAACGAAATATAAAGTATAAAAAGTATACATAATACATTGAAATTTATTCCCAATACACTATCATGTGAAAGGAATTGTTCAAAAAATACACGAGATTTCTCAAAACACTAATACATTGTATCATGAGGAAATTCGGAAGTGACTGAGGGACTTTAAAGGGGTCATGAACATATGTACTTAATCTTTGTTCTTCTTGCCTGATACCAAGTACACGTTCTAGCTAGCAATAAGTGCAGAAACTACTTCCTCATAAAACTAGAAAATAGGGCATACTATACCTTCACTGAATCTGTATATGGCAATACTGCCTGATAGTTGAATTCATTTGACTTTGCGCATATTAATATTGCGACTAAACCAAACTTCAAGCCATGCCTCAAAAGGTTTTCATGTACAACTTAATACGTTTCCTCATAATATTCTGCCTTTATACTTTGTCTAAAACAGATGTGTATTTATGGATAGAATAGTTTAACAATGAAGTTCAATTTCATAAGAAACACATACTCATCCAAATTATCATTGACAGCTTTGCAGTAGATTTACCACTAGCATGTGACACCACTGTACGGTACATTATGTTCTGCCGCATCCTCTGTTTGGTAGCCTAACTGTAAACTTGAACAAGGTTAGAGATGTCACTACTCCCTTTAGACTGATGATATGCGAAGGAATAATGTAAAAAGAAAGAGGTACGCCACAACGATAGTCATTAATATAAATAAAGCAAGAACAACAGTTTTTGTAGAATAAGATAGTACTATTATTTATTTCGTTGCCTTCTCCCTGTGTAAAAACTATATTAAATGTAATTTTCTGGGCATTGTTCATTAAGTTTGGAACCTCCTGTCAACTGGCATTGTGTAAAATTTTCAAGTATGTTAAAACTTTTCTGTACATAAACTTAATAATTTATTCAGGCTGCAAGTGACTGATGAGAAGGCAACGAAATAAATGATGGTACCACCTTATTCTGCAAAAACTGTTGTTCTTGCTTCATTCAAATTCATAGAGGGGAATAAATGTATGAAGCTAACAATATACTCATGTCGAATAAACTTACCCGAGATTCCACCTCTTTATCATTGTTGACTGTGGGTGTGACGAGATTATTCGCCACGGCATTCAGGTCTTGAGTATTGACCTCTTCCTTCGAGTTAACGGTTTGAGTACCGTTAACAGCAGGTGCCGATGTGACTGAACTATCCATATCGCTAATGTTGGCGGTAGGTAATTCGGACGTACTCACGGGTCCGGTGCCAACAGGGCGCTTAACACGGGACATAATACTATCCAGTTTCTTTTTAAGCATTACTCTCTCTTCTTCAATTTGCTGTTTCTTTTTGAGGCGTTCTTCTTCAGCCTGACGCTTGATAGTTTCATAGAATAAAAACAAGAGGATGATACAATCGTATATTGTTAACAGGAGTTATGAAAATAACGAAGTTATTAGACGCAGAGGTACTTCAGCGCTTTTAAAAATATGCGACAGTATTAGTATATGGACACTTTTAACAGTGGCGAACATCCTGTTGTTAGAACTCGGCTCCCCAGAGCAAATTTCTTCATATGCCGGTGGTTATGAGCCATACTTACTGTCTGAAACTTGATGACACTATCTCGTCACCAAGGCTCAACCAGGCGGAGTGAAATTTGAACCACTAGCTCACAGACGAGTGCTTAAGCTAAAGAATCTCAACTCCACGATAGACAAACCTAAAACTGCTGAATATCAGCCTAAGTTGTAGTGTTTTATGTCTGTAGAGAACCGAAAGTTATAAAAAATAATATGATCAAAGATAGTAACACCTTCAAAAAGATACTAAAATAGAAAGAGAGAACAAATTCACTGTCAATAAAAAAGTATATTTTTATCATTTGCTGGCATTTACCCGTGGGTCTGTCTAGAAATCTGCTTGCTAGTTTCCATGTGAAGCAAATGAATGCACTTACAACCAAACTCTTAATGATCCTGCAACTTCATTTCGCATCATTCTGAGCCAGACGGTATACGTTACCACCAAAACGGGTGAGTTGTAAAAACCGGTCAAAATTTATTTAGTACAGCAATATAAATCCTCGTATATCTTTACAAAATTCAAATCTTTTGTACGATATTTATCATCATAAAGGGATTTTTAGGAGTACTACTCAAAAAGTACAACTAGAAAACAGAACAATAAAGCGAAATAATTACTTCAGCAGCTTTCCTAGCTTCTATGGCCCGTTGAGCTTCCTCTTTCCGTAAACGCTCCTCTTCTTCTGCAGCTAGTCTTTCTTGTTCTTTTTTTATACGATTTTGTTCCTCCATTCGTCTAGAGATAGACAAAATTGAAACGCAACTTCTTACACACAAGCTCAAGTTTACAAAACATAATGAGATAAATCATTTTACTTTTAATCCACATGAGAGATCATGTGCTTATTCCTCTTAATATTTGTTATATAAGCATGCCTTGTTTCACAAAGAATACAGCTAGTCAATGAAGTAGCTTCAAACGCACCGTTGTATGATCACGCCTCTTATGATTTGGCGCCAGTTGGCTCTTTTTGAGTATGTTTTACCAGTTCGATGACTACCAGACAACTGGCGTTTGTGGCAATTCCAATCTAAGTGAGATGATCAGATGAAGGTTTAGCACCGCATATACAGATTTAATGGAGGTTGTTAAGTAGCATGCAGATTTTACGCCGTGGATAACAAATGGTAACAGATAACTAAGGAATTCAATCGTCCAACGTAAGTCACTTTCCTGTACTAGGTCACAGGTGACACTTCATGAACTTATGATCAGATTGTAATAGGTTTACGGAGCTTTGGACACAAGCCTCATTTGTCAAGAATTGGTATAATAAAAATGACTTTAAACATGTACAGTGCAGACGACACGGACTCACCTTTGCTCTTCCTCCATTCGCTCTTTTGCTAACCGACGTTGTTCTACTAACTTAGCTCGATAAATCGCCGCTTCGTTTTCAGGCAGGACAGCGCCTTCTCCCGATCGATGAGTTTCAGCCGTAATTGGGCCTACTTGCGGAATAACATTTGCTGCCGACTCTACGTTATTTATAACTTCTCCAGAGACGACAGGGAGCACAGATTTATCCGCAGGCCTCGTCTTAGAGGCAGTATTATCTGTCATTTGGGTGTTAGTTTCTAAATTGTCAGACTTGGGTGGAGGCACCAGATTGGTAAGATCCGTCTCAAACTCCTTAGAAAAATATGAAATTAGAGAAGCAACACATAGAAATACATATTCCGTGAACAAACTAATATATAACAGCAGACTCAGTTTACACCATATGTACATTCTCAGTTCAACTACACGCAGCACAAAACGCTTGAGAACAAGTGATGCGTATACATATGAACTGTGATCAAGATCTGATCGGATAGTTGCACAACAGTTGAGCGCCGAGTGAGAAGTAGACATTTGTAAAAATTATATTTGTAAAATCTCAGCGAAATTGAAATGATTAATTCCAACGTTTCGTTTGGCAATCTGGTCCGAACTTCTTCAGGGAAAATAATCGAAATTAACATAACAGAGGTTTATATATAAAAGGAACATCTCCTGTTTTTAATTGTTTGTCTTGTCATATGAATCATGAAACAGGTATCAACAGGTATAATAAACAAAAATTGTATGAACTGTGATCAAATTTTGACCTCAAACTTTCAAAATTAGTCTACTTTTGTTAAAAATATATGTGTATATGCAGTATACAATGGTGTGTGTGGGTGCACAGCCATAAAACACTTGTTAGAGAATCGGGGATTTTGACTAAGAATGAATATTGTTGATAAATATCCAATTTTATTTATTATTCAGGATTTGCCATGCATCAGCTAACATCACACCTTCACGTCCGTTCAAACTGTTGGGATTCACCCATATATGTAGGGCTTCTGCAGTCAGTCTTTCTTTATATGAACCAAAACCCTTCTATAGAACCTTAGTCCTATCAAAGTCGATTTTATGTCCCATTTCTATCGAATACTGTGCAATCGCTGAGTTGTTTTCTAGCTTCTTCAAGTCTGCAGAGGTCTTTGGAACCACCTTTAGACATTGTTAATGCTCTTTCACTCTTATATTTACCTGTCTGGAAGTTTTTCCTACATATACAGCGTTACAATCCCCACAATTGATCTGTTATACACAATTCTGCTGGTCTTCTTGTTCCATTTTATCCTTAACCTTCACCAGTGATGAGCGTAAGGTGTTAGTTGCACGAAAATACACTTATGTTATGATCGTTAAGGATTCGCTTTATTTCATCGGTAAGGAATCATCGCTGTACTAACCCAATCCTCAGCATCAAGTTTCGATTCATCCTTGTCTTCACATTTCAAATATCTTTTTATGAAAGCTTTAGGATAATTATTTGATTCAAGAGTGGATTGAACCAATTTTAGTTCCTTGCTAATGTCTTCCTCCTTAGTAACTAGACGTTTGGCTCTGTTAATGAGATTCTTGGCCACAGTTACTTTGGTGGTAAATGGGTGAGCTGAAAAGTAATCTAGGTATCTATCCGAATTTGTCGGCTTTCTGAAAATGTTTATTTTAAATTTGCCATCTAGTTTTCTTTTTACTAAACAGTCCAGGAACGCCAACTCGTTCTCATAGGATAATTGACTTATCCTGTTGTAGGTGTTTTAAGGCGAGTTGCTCGTTTTTATTTATATTCGGCACATTTGGCTTCTGGTTCAGTAGTACCGCTGTAATTTTATGTCAGACAGTCTACACCAGCCACGTGACTCGAACTCACAGTCAGACTTCATAGAGTGACAACATTTTCCATTTAACTATACCTTAACAATTCCTCAACCAAATCCTATTACATATAGCAATACTCGTATGGGAAAGCATGACTAACACATGTTCTAGCTATCTTAATTGGCTTAACTTCAAAATCTTGTGGATTGGGCTTTCCCTCCTCACTTAACACTATAGGACTAATTGCATTAACACTGATTATATTGTACTACATGGATACCTCTGATCAAAGACGGATAGTCTTATCGTACAAAGCACTATTTATTTGCTTTATTTACTAAGAATCAAAATCTAATAAATTACGACAGGAGCAGTGGTAAATATTTCATTACTAAGAGTGGTACAAATGAAAAATACTAAAGATAATAGTATGGGTCTTTTAAAAGAAACTTACCTGAGTCTTTGATGTGCTGGCCGGGGGTGAGCGGGGCTTGGACGGGAGTATGGGTTTCGCCCTAGTACGCTGGTGTAAGCTATCTCCAGAAACCGACTTGGACATTAAGGGAGGTATGCGGGCACTGTTGTTCCGTTTGGTCGTTTGAAGATTTTCTAAAACCGAAATAAAAATTTAAACAGCCTTCAGTCAGAATCCAAAAGTATGCAGTTAAATCAAATCCTTACAATTAAACAGTATGCAGGGTAAACAACAATCCTAATAGCCAAAAAGCCAGTTTTAATATACTTTCTCATCACAAATTGGCATGTACTGATACTTGCTGGATAGCTACTTCATCCTGAATTCGAGGAACTTCAACGGTATAACTTTTTCTTAAATGGAGTTCAGGACCACCGGGTCTTTTAAGAAACGTAATGAACTTCTACGTCAACAACTTGTGTTATCCCGTATTTCATTTCGTAACACAATGGGAGTGCTGCTCTTAAATGATATGTAGTTAAACTCACAAACCAGCAATAAAAATTATCTTACTAACTCATTGATTTAAATTACAGTTTTCATAATCATTACTTTAAAGAATAACAGTAATAGTAGTAATAGTAAGTGGATTAGTGTAAAAAAATTTTTTCATAAGAATAAGGTATTCATATATTGTTTGCTTACACACGAAAGTTACGTGGCCAACACTGCAGAGGTAGGATTGAAAAAATGATCTGAATTTTAAAGTGATTTATTGGCACATTTTTATCAGGTTTTTATTTCTGTGAACTAATGAATAGTATGATAATTTCATACATTTCTTTCCCTTAATGAATTTGAACAAAGCAAGAGCAACAGTTTTTGCAGAATAAAATGGTACTATCATTTATTTCGTTGGAGTTGGAGTATGATAATTATGATCCAAGCGTTATCCATACAATTCGACTGAAGCAATGAAGCTGGTTCGTCAGATGCGTTAAGTGACGACCTACTATAAAGACAAATATTCAGAGTACTCAAGCCAAATTTAATGCACACACGAGTCACAGACGCAAATTTTAGTTTGATACCTGGTCTGCAATGATAGTCTAACAGTCAGTTCAAACGTGATACCCTATAGCTTTTAAACTACTTCAGGCCTGGGTTATAGTTCCTCAGAATGCCACATGTTTCCCTTGCATATACATAAATTTTACACCTTTTCCTAAAAATTTTCTAGGAAATACGCTTGTTCGCATCCTACCCTCACACAATTGGAGTGTCCGTAAAGTAACGATGAAAAGAATAAGAAGATCCAGTCTTCATCAGGGGAGACAGAGGGGAAGTTGGAAAGTCATGTGGATGCGTGCTCCAAAATACAAAAGCCTCAACTAGCGTACAAGCCTGTTTGGTTCACATGCAAACACGAAAATAAACTTATGTAATGATAACAATAATGATTCAACCTCTGATGTCACTTTACTGTTTTGGCGAGCAGGACTCGGTAAGACAACCATCTTCTTCATTTTGAACTGCCAGATATTAGATAAATCCTTCCACGAAATGTGAAACGTTTTGTGCTGTCATTACATGTAGTACATTTATTAATAATATACCAGACCTGCGATTAAACAGCTGTAATTTGGTGATAACGCCGGAAGTTGAGTCTGAATCTAATGAATGAGTTATCAACTTTTTATTTAACCACAAAAAACTTGGTGGAATACGGCACCTAACAGATGCGCCACACAATAATAATAAAACAACATAGATAAAAAGTAATAAAAAATATAGGTAGGGAAAGGATAAAGTACATCATCTGGAAGAAAAACAGTCATATTTAACAAGTTCAAACAGCATTCGTCAACTATCGTCGGTAAGGGAGGAAAGAAGGATATCGCAGCACCTTCTCCATTGACTGCGAGCCACTGATTCGAACTATCTTTCGGACCAGGGAATCGAGGCGCACTAATTGATGCTAACCTAACACAAATATCCTTCATCCCGCGACGCTACGTCATGGGATGACCACCTCTCTGCTTTTTCCATCCAGTCCCGGGGCTAGCGAACAGAGACATGTAGGAGAGCCTCCGGGATGACATTCGCGGCACACGTACAAGCCACTGAAGCCGGTGTTTCCATATAACAACACTCAACGAATGGTGATCTCCACTGTGACCAAACGCACGCCACCGAACCTCAGAATTACTCACGCGATGATGCCATCGAATACAAGCAATGCTGCAGAGACAGCAATGGCCGAATACACAGAGTGGCCGTACATCCTCAGCTCAGAGAGGCCAGGTTTCACAGGTGTAGAGCAATACAGCCCACACGAAAGCACTGTAAACCCGACCTTTGATAGCCAGACTGACGTCGTAACGGTGCCACAATCAATGCAATAAAACAACGAACTCTCAGTTATTAACTATAACTTGTATCCAGTTGTTAAAACTGTATCACTTTTTGTCATATTAAATAAACCCATCCAATAGGAAGAAGGGAAAAGCACCTTGCAACATCAAAATGGAAAATATATTGTGTATTATTTTTATTTATTAAGATGGATATTGCAGTAAGTCTGTAAGGTAATAACTTACTAATAGGTCGTATAGTATCCGCAGGAACCGTGGGTGTGGTCGATCGGTGAGAATTCAAGGTGCCACGATAATTTGGACGACCAATCTTATCACATTCATTTGATGAACTGGATCTGTTCGGCACTACTAAGATGAACAATAAAAGATACATTTAAGTACTTTGTAGGAATAGTGGCAGTATAGTATAACATGCAGCCAAACACCTATTATGATCTAATTGAATGAACGATTTGTGATGGAGATGTTGAGCGAAAATGGACACAAGATGAAAAAAGCCGGACTGAGGAAAAAGTACAGTGAATCTAACAACAAAGTATAATTACAAGAACAACAGCCAGTCAATCATTAAAGTGCATGCATAGCTGTTTCAAAATAATTCGAATACATGCAAGTATCGCTTAGACCTTAACAATTATAAACTTAAATGAATTAGAATGGAATACGTGTGGTAAACAGGGCACAATGACTATAGTATTAAGATGTCTACGAGAGTACAGAGACGCCAAATAATTGCCTGCATTATCTGATAAATGACTTCCTTCTAGATAATCGTACGAAGTATTGATGTAGAGAGCGAATCTCATCTTGTTACACCCACCCGTGCTAAGTAGTTAAGAATACCAGGCTAAGCAATGTTTAGGACAACCATAAACCGAATAATATCTACCTAGGTTGCACCTCTAACGCAGGATAATGACATTTAAATATAGAAGTGTCCTGTGTTGATATAATGTATATGGCCAAATCTAACCTAAATTAAATAACACCATAAAACACTGTTAATACTAGCACATTGTAAACCAAATCCTTTAAAAAGTATGAATGAACACCAACTGCAAAATAAATGAATCAAGTAGAAAAACTATCATGTTGGAGAAAGCACAACGGGATATAACTAACAAGCACAAAGTTATACTAGCAGGCTGTTTAAAATTTCATTGGTACACAAACGAACACATATGATATACGGACACCAAAAAGCGAATGAACCAATCTGTTATATTATTTAGATAGTGGACCAGATATAAAAAGGTTCGAAATCTGTGCAGATTCATATATATATATATATATATATATATATAGTGGAAAATAGGCATGTCAACTATAGCGAATTAATAATAATGCGTTAAATGATAGCAAAGAAATGTTTCACATTTATTCCAAATATTTGCTGACATAAGTAGCAACTTCTTAAAGTAGCACATCTACATCTATTGGTAAAGTTCTCTTGGGACCTAAAAGGCATTTATCCCTTCTATCTGTACTGCTTAACAGACTGTAAAGGATCACTTAAAGTTCAAATACTGATAAACTGCAGAATTTCGCACTGACTTCATTTTATTTAAAATATCATGACTAGAAGGATTAACTTCAAACATAAATATCAGGATCATCCTATAATATAAACACTGCATAAATTAAAATAGCAAATTTAATGTATTAAGATAAACAACACCAGCGGTTACCTATTTCACCTGTACGGAACAACAGCTCAGGATTGTTAGTCACCGTAAGTTATACATAAAACTATACTGATTTCAATGGTAAATCATAGAAGCAAGGCAGAAAACTACACATACGATTATGAGGAGTCGATTCAGTTAATACCCGTAGTTATACGCAGATTACACAGAAAAATTTTGGGATGAAAAATTAATTTGCGAATTAGGATGCATCGTTTCTACACCAAACCCATGTCAGATGAAATTAATCACTAAAATAGTGAGGGATTTATTGGTGAATTTATAAAGTAATTCACCCTCCTAGCATTATGATGAAATCAAACGTACACACGCACTCATGTAAATATCTACACCTACAAACGTAACATGCATATATATTAGTTCCAGAAAAGCAGCAGAAAATCATGAGAGCAGCTTCACCACGAATTGGATGCTAGGGTAAACATATACGTAGGCTTATGTAAGAGATATAAGAAGCAGCATGCATGATAAATGATAATCCGTTTCATGGAAAATGTTTTTTTTTCTGATGCAGGAGTAGCAGGCACGAGAGGGGTGCGGACAAACCTTCACTGGTTTGGGTATACTCGGAATTGTGCCCGTCGGAAATTGTGGAAGTGTTGGGGGATTTCGAGTCTTTAGTGCTGACAGATTGACCGGACTTGAAAATAGTGTTTTTGTTAGCGAGAGGAGTTTGCTGACGTCGAGCATGAGTAACCCGAGTGAATGATGACTTATGCTGGCGTAAAACAGAAGCATGAGCTGAGGCAGCTCGCCTAGACTGCACTACACCTCGATTACTGAGCCTCGATTTATATACACAGGTTGGGGGCCGAGGTACATGTGATGGATCTATAAAGCACGAATAATATGGTGTTGCAGTTGCTGTAAAAAAGCACCCGCTATGTCGCCCAGTAAGATAGCTAGCTAGTCGTGCTTCGAAAGTCTGTTTCAAACGTAAAGCTGCTGGACTTGGTTGCGTACATATAGATCTGGGGGAACTACTACCGAACGCCACTACACAAGAAGTAGTCATCAGGCTGCTTGGATTCCTTGTGACACCCAGTGAAGGAGAAGCGCTTGATGTGCGTCCACAATTTCTCTTTTCTGTATGCCTGCGGCCAGTGGTACTGTTTCCAAAACGGATTGCAGAGCGTTCACGTATAGCATCAATTCGTGCCTAAAAAAATGGAAATTTTACAGGAAGCATTAGCAATGTGGCTGGGAAGTGAACATTAACAAACTTAAGAAAACAGTAAATTTGTGAAGATATCTTACAGATCCGCACATCTTGGCTAAAAAACTAATGATCTGCACTTTGTTTTCCCAACCAATTGTACTTACATGCAGTTGGTAATGAGCTATATCTACTCTATGAGGACTAATCACAATACCTAGATTGCACACAGTGGTTGGAACTTGAGTGCCTAACAAACAAGCCATAGTTCCATACCTCACAACATAACCTTTGATTCCAGACATCTACTAAGGTAGTTTAATTTATCAGATATGCTAGTTTACAGATATTGATATCAACACAAAATACATCAAAAATCTTTGACTACAGATGATTCTGCAGTATGAGAACAATTTTGTAACAACCTTAGGATTTCGTTATAGAAACTTAGCATCAGGAATTCCTGAATTAATTAAAAAATTTTATTAATGAATGAGTGACACGAAGCTGTCAATATCAATTCACTTAGAATAAATAAGTATAAACGATTCAAAAAGAGGAAAGACCTTCAATTGTGAATAATAGCATCTGAAGCTAAGTGGAAAGCAAAACTCGACAACCTAACCAGAACATAATAAACAATATTTGCTATCATTACCCAATAAGTACTGCAGTCATATGCAAAATGCATGGGAAATGCACACCGCTTTGATAATAAATTGGAGCATTCGGATATCACGAGTCACTCAGCAAAAGACATAGGTTGATGGTATTCATCGGTGAACCTTTACTTCTGATATTACATCCAGTGGTATTTTAAAACATATTTTGTAAGTAGTTTTGGTACTTTGATTGTGTGACACAATCAGAAACTTTAACGTTGCCTTAAAAGACCATTGCTTCTGTTTTCGCCCACTTTCTTGGTACCACTTACGTTAATATACTGTAATCTGAATATATCAATGTATGTAAGAAGCATACGTTGAAAAACAATTAGCAAGCGATTTCTAGCCTGGATAGTTTCCCAAGTATTTACCATTTGTTGTGCTGTGGCCTGTTTACATGCATAAACAGATGACTAATGACTCCGTGTCAATAAATCGTTGATGTGGATAAAGAGAATTAAGGACATGAAATCACTAATAAAGAGGTATTTTAATATGTTCTTAACGCTAGTAGCAAGTTAGTGTGTTAAACTCTTACTTGATTTGACATCTCCAGGGCTGCACGACGTTCTAAGGCATCCAGTCTACGCTTTTGTTCTTTTTGTCGCATTTCTTCAATCTTACGTTTACGTTCTTCTTGTAAACGCATCCGCGCTACTTCCGCTTGGCGTTGAGCTTCAACGTATGCGGCATACCTCTGTTGCTGCCTGAGCTGCTCCGCAGCGCGCACTCTTCGTAAACGCTCCTCCACTGAAATGGCAGCACTTGAACTTTGACAGGAATTAGTATTCTGCTGCTGCGAACTATCAGCACTATTCGGTCGAGTGATATCTGCTGGCGAAGAATGCAACAGGAGACTGGTTTTATGAATACTCAGTAACAAATGTGGTAGGAAAAATAAATTAGGATGAATTTTTGTATGTTTATTTTGAAAACTTTTTAGTCGAGTAACTGGTTATTGCGTGTATTAATAGTATACGAGTAGAAATTAGGGAGTGCGATAAAATATAATTCAATATTATGATTATGGGGAAAGTCAAGTGATTAATGCTGTGTCGCTGTTACATCAAATGAACTTATTTTAATATGAAATCGCTTTATGTAGTACTAAAAGGAAACTACAGAAAATCTAGAATGGATTCTTAATAGAGAAGACTAACCTGCAAGGAAATGAAAAACTTAAACGCCAAGTGCAGAAATTTGTCCATGAATATAGAAATGGCGAATCGACGACCCTAATGAACTTAAGGGATTCCATCCCCTATGGGCTGCAGAACGACAAGGCTTCCGTTAAATTTCATTTAAGACTATGAAATGGCACCCTGCGTCAAGGTGGTAGACGAACAAACAACTTTGAAAACCATGCTTGTTACCCCAGTATTTCTGAATGTTGTTCATAGTCAATACAGGGGCGAGCCCTACTTTTAGGTTTGTAGTTACCAAAATTGTCAAGTCTAAAAGTGCGCTCATCCTCTGCAGATCACCATAAACGATGTGCGTCTGTAAGGTGAATTTCGCCAAGCAAAATTAACCGTATTAAGCTTTATCACACCAGTAATTTCTGCTACTTCGTAACCTTAGTACGTTACTCCTAAATGATTGCCTTTAAGACAAGCACATAGTTAGAGAAATTTCCGAAAATTGAAAATAAGGCAAATATCCTGGGAGTAACTAACCTGTATCATTATTCGTGCATTCAGATTCGGTACTTACGGATCCATTCTGTATGTGGTCTTTATCTGCATGTTGTTCTTGTACCCCGTTATATTCCATGGCTCTATAAATAAAATTGAAAAGCCCCTCCTATAATTCCGTGAAAAAAAGTTGAAATACTTCGAGAGAGTAGGAGACATGTACATACCTTCCCAGACGTCAGCAATGAAACATCTGATAGGCTGTAGTTCCAATGACCGCCACAAACTTAGGCGGGAAACAAATGTGTCAATTATCACGTCCCAAATTATGGACCCAAAACTCATTTCTTTCATAAATGACTCGAAGCTGAGCCTTTCCACCTCTATGATGTTTATATGGCTTCAGTGCCTTTGATAAATTGAAGTGAAATATTTTAAAAATTCTAGATGCACCTTGTCATCCGTATTTTAAGATTATAAGATACGGGAATCGCTCAGTGACACGTACCTACTGACTAATCAAAAGGTAAATATCCTCGTGATCAACTTAAATAATGAGGCTCAGCATGTGCACATGAATAGTATGATACTGCTAGATGACTCACAGTGAATACCCGGTAGAATACTGAAGCGCACAGAAGTATTAAGAAAAGGTACGGTTTGATTCAACCCATTTCTGCCAGGCTGTAATCGTCAGAAAGCAAATGAATGTGTTAACGGTGACATTTCTAGATTTCGAATTATCTAATTTCATCCCACCAATGCACGTAATCATGTTTAAAACTAAAAAAGGAAGCACTGTGCTAGTGACTGTTAAAACATGGGTAAAGTTACGAATTATTTAACTTCCAAATATGTTGTCACCGCACAGTTGAAGTTTGTTTACATTTTCTTCCTGAAGCGTGAACAAAGAAACAATATCACGTATCCACTAGGTTGGTTTTCATTCAAACTGCATCTTTGTAGTACTAAAATATGAGGTATGAGCCAGATTATAAGGACGAAGTCCGCAGACAAAGAGTAAGAAGCAATTCGTACTGGATTTTAGGCATGAGGATAAAGTGGAAACTACAGGCACCTGCGAATATACAGACAACTATTAAAGGGTGTGGTAAGTTAGTGGAATGGGTCTTATTACAGTCAAGGACCAATATCAGTAACTAATTGGATAAGCTCTGCCTTCACCATGAACCAGGTGGAATTCGATAACAGAATAACCGGGCATTTCGGTATATCTAACGTGAAGGAATTATATCGCCATAGGGCTTCTGATTCTACAGGATAAAAATTGAGAGATAGGAGTCCACTCAAGTTTATAGCCCTCAAAATGAATGAAATGTCTCTAGCAACACCAAGAGTTTTGGCAGAGGCTTAGTCCTAGAAGCCCAAATTTCTCCTTGTTGGTTTATGCTTTTAATTTGTCGTGATGATAAGTGAATGGTATCTAGATGTCTGACGTTTCAAATTGGTAAGTCAAAGTCACTAAAAAGATCTAGAATATGTGAATTTCAACCAACTGTTCTGACCAAGTATTCAGACAATACGTAGTTTGGAGAAGTTCTAGAGTGAGCTACGGATCTAATATGATTCTGGGGAACAAATTAGTTAGACTGCTTGAACGACTTCGACTAGAAATAACACTCAAAATTATTGCGTATACAACTAACTTGCCAGACCCAAGCTTTAGCCATACAACCTGCTGGCTCTTTAGCTTGGACCACCTAACTTGATGACCAGGCTGTTCTTGACACTACCATAACTAGGGAGGCAGGAACACTAATCTCACCACTGCTCAAAGGTATTTTTATTAGCTATGACAAAACTGATTACAGGGATACACAATCACACCAAAACTCCGTTCCTGAGCAACTGTCCCTTGATAATCATATTTTCTAAAATTAGTTTTCATCCGCACGGATTAATAAAATGATCTTTGACAGTGAAACGGCTGAGGTGGATTGGCTTGACAGATTTCTTCGATCCCCTGCAGGATATAAAAGATGATGAAATTTGAAAACACATTACATCCTACTGGGGTTATTAGTTTTGTTCGTTGAATTGGAGGGTTTAGATTTATCTAGAAATTGCTTCCCATGACATAAATTCCGGCAGACTCCCTTATTCACGGCAGTGCCTACTGGCTTTTTAACTTCGTAGCATATGTTGATTTCGCTAACACCGATGGTGAACTGCCTTGATGTGGCTAAAAAATGCTACACACTTATTATTCTTAAGGTTCCAGCCGGCCTTTACTTCAGGTTTAATCAAGCAGTTTTAGTTTTCTATCCTTTAAGCGCCAGCACACATTCCACTTCATCCGCAATTACTTTATCTGTCAACTCAGGCGTTATTTTTATTATCTTTAAAAAATCCACAGAAATCAGCTTACCTAATGCTCCACTGAGTTCGATCCTTATAAATTTGACACGCAGATGGAATTAATACCAGTGACAGCTGTCTGACACATCGTGGGAGGTCTAAATGTTTGTGTCACAATGAGACTGCGTGATTCAGTCAGCACTACCTGGGCTGTCAAACTGCATCTGAAACCATCACCAGTGTCACTAGTGAGCATTTATTCTCACATCTAACTTGCTGGCCCCCGTTGGTCATGACTTCGTCATTTGGAGAGTAACTATTAAACACTGGTTTGATTTTCAAATTTTTGTTTGCTGCAACCTGACTGATCTCAAGTCTGATTGTCAAGTCATTTAGGTTAGAGGACTATCAGAAACTAGTGCGTGCTAGACTGCTGCTTTTACTTAGTTTTGGACTCTTCTGAATTGTGCGCCGACGACCTAGTACAATACTGTGTGATTTATCAAAATAAAATTTTATCTATAATGGAGTTATATGTAATGACTTGGTGCATTTCCTAGTTTGCCTATAATTGCGGAATGTACATTATATTAAGGAACATAAATGGGTTGTGTGAAAACCAGTGGTGTTCCTCCTCTGGGCTTAACTGATGTCACATTGATTGACACGATTAAAGGAATAGATTAGAACGTGGTGTTTTCTGTTACCTAGTTTCGAATTAATACCATGCGTCTAATCCTATTAAACTATGGATATAGTTCTTCCTTCACGATATCTAGAAGTCGGGAGCACACTATCTTTGGCAGATCTAGTTTTACTTTGTGACTAATTGGTGAGTCACCTGGCGATGTGGTAGTAGAAAAAACAACTTCAAACCTAAGTGTTCTCTAGATATGAACATACTCACTTACTTTGGCGACAATTTAATCTTTTTATCAAGAAACCCTTAGGGATATCAACCTTTACTTAGTAATTAAAAACTAGAAGTAAACGCCATGTTACTAAGTTATTCAAAAGACAGATTTACGAGTGAAATAGTACTCGGATACTTATTCTAAAGAAACTGAATCATGATAATCATTCAGCCTACCAATATGCCGTTTACTTTCAGTTTTAATTCAAAGACAAATTTAGTTACTCACCAAAATAATAGTTGCAGAAGACTGTTCTACTGCTTTCTTGAAAATACTGTGCCCGATCGTGTTTTACCTCAAAATATGTGTATACTGGCCAGTTGATGTTGATTATCCAGTTATACTGTCAAACCTATGTTCCTATCAAACAAAACATCCCTTAAACCATCAACAAGCTATCATCACTTCTAAATAGATAACCTTAACTATTCGCATGTGAACGATGCTATTAACTTTATCACCTACGTGACGTTTCAACTTTCGAATAATCAATTTTACCTTACCTGAGCACCTGTTTCAATTTCAAAGGATAGTTCTAAAGTTTGACTGCTGAATTAGTATGTTTCGTTATATACCATCCTTACAAAATATAAGTACCGATAATAATTACTTCTAACAAATTTATCACGAGAATAAGAATGTAATGCACATCGACGACAAGATAACTCAGAGGTGGATGTCTCTTCTAAATGCACTACTCAATACAACACATGGCCCTAATCTCCCTAACTCTGTAGCTTGCAACATTCGATAAGGTTAGTAGTCACTATTAACAAGTGGAATGTCCATTTGAGGTACAGGGAATGAATTTATTAGTGATTTAACACAACATACAAAACCAAAAATACTGGGAACCACTTCCTTCGGCAATGAATCCCATGAGGTCATCAAAGTTTCCGAGTAGCACAAAAAGAAAATAAGGGTTTACATGATGTATACACGAAAATCACTGTTAATATAATAACTAACGAGTTAGCACAGTAGGAATTAATACAAGTTTATATCAATGTGCGATTACATCAGTCACTATTTTTGACAAAAGTGGATGTTTGGACAAAGTAGTAGGAAGACGCAATTTGTCTGAATCGTGTAGTGTTGTATTTGCGCAACACATTTTGGATATTCTGGTCACACATGGACTTGTCATAGGAATACATATGAAATTAATAGAGTTAAGGGGTTGGAAAATAAATTTAGGTGGAATTAAAAGCACATATTGAAGGTCAAAATAACAATGAAGACCACTAAACCAAATAACAGAGGTATTAGTGCATCTACCGTGACTGGTAAGGAAACGAAGTTTAACAAAAAAGGTTTCATGTGATGACGAATAGTTTTGGAACTCACAGAGGTGGTTTAAACTTCTTCATAACACTTGGGTTTCCACAAACTTCAGGATGCAATCAAAACACGTTTTACAAATAGTTGAAAAGATGTGCGAACGTCAATTTTATGTCCTGTCTCTATAATATGTTTCGCAATAGAGGAGCTAGGGCTCCTGTTCCCACCATTAATAGCTTCTGAAGATTCTGTTGGCTTCTGGAGGCATTTAGGAATATGATGCGTAGCCCCACTTGCAGACGTCGATGAGTCCTCCCTAAATGGATATAGCGACCGCTTCTAAACCTTACGTCCATAGCTTTAATAGATGTCGGACACTTATTCTACCAAAATAATTCTGCTAACTAACTTTGAAAAAACGTAAAGCGTCAGGACAATAACAAAAGGCGGAAGTTTATGAAACCAAACTCAATAATAGGATGAAATGACGTACAGCTCAGATATCCTTAAGTACCTGATCACGAGGATGATATTCAAATACACCAAATTACTAGAATGTTGCAGTGTGCATTTAACTCAGCTAGAAATTTTGGCAGAAAGCAGTGAATGTTGTAAGTGATCGTAAAACATATTGCAGTTTCTGCCCAGTTGTGAACATTAATCTTCGCTTGTATCTATACATTCCACTGAGACATTTGAGGTGATAGAATGAATACCGGTAAATGTTTTCTTGGAGATTAGGGTATAACTACTTTTTTCGACTAG